ACCAAAGGCCCAGAGAGAGAAACAAAGACCCCCTGGCTGTTTCCCTCCACTCAGGGCCAAGGAGGCGGGAAACGCGCTCGGGCCAAGCTTCTTGCAGCTGTTTTCTTCAACCCCAGCTGGGAGGGGGCGTCCACCCGAGGCACCCAGTTCTAGCATGGGCTGTGGCTCTGCCTTCCCCTCCGGCTCAGGCCCCCAGGGCGACCCGTCTGAGCCCGCTCACCCTTCTCGTGGAAGGATCTTTTCTCCCCTCATGAAATCCCCTTCATTTCATGCTCATCCCCGCTTAGTATCAGGGACACACCAAAGAAAACCACCACGAGAGACAACCTCACGCCCGTGAAAATGGCCCGCGTCAAAAAGGCCAAAAAGACGCCTCCCAGTTCCGGAGGAGCCTGCAGGGAGCAGGAAGCCCCGCACAGTGGAGGGAGGTGGACTGGCCCAGCCCCTGTGGAAAATATGGTTGTTTCTCAAAATGTTAAAAGTAGACTAGCTATTCCAAAGGGCACCTGCACCGCTGGGTTTACAGCAGCCCTGTCCACAACAGCTCAGCTCTGGAAACCACCCGAATGCCCAAAAACAGATGCCGGATCAAGAAGACGGGGTCCATAGACACCGTGGAATATTACTCAGCCATCAAAAAAGATAAACTCATGCCATTTGCAGCAACATGGATGGCGCTGGAAGGGATCATGCTCAGCGAAATAAGCCAGAAAGAAAAAGAAAAATACCGGATGGTCTCACTCATAGCAGGAATCTAGAAAACTTAAATAAGGGACCAGGAAAAAGACTAATTATAATAAAGAAAAAATCAAAATCCACAAGCAACTATAAACCAGAGACACACTGGGGGTAGGGGGAGGGGGGATTAGGGTCAAAACAAGGGGGTGGGAATTGCATGGGGACTGTAACCAAGATGAAAATGCACACACTGTGCAAAAATGAAAAATGATGTAAGAATTATAGAAAATAAAATAATAATAATTTGAAAGATAGAGCTACAGAGCCTCCCCGGTGGCGCAAGGGGTTGAGACGCAACCTATGAAGCTGTCCGCAGCCTCTGCAGCCGGTCATGGGACCCTCGGGGCGGCAGTGGGGGGGTCACTGCTCGTGGCATCCGTCCCCTGGGGGCCAGCATCGAGGGGCGCGGCAGGACTCCCGGCCCCTCCCCAGGCCCCTCAGCCCTCGCAGCCCCGCTGACTGTCTATGCGCCTCCGCGCACCCAGCGCCTGTCACCCCGGTCTCCCCACCAGAATAGAAGCTCCACCCGGACAAGGGGTCTCTGTTTCTCCCCAATGTCCCCCACCGCCTGGAGAGCACATGGCGACTGCAGGTCTTTCACACGCGCACGCTCACGCCCGACGGATCTGGCCACGCTCCTCCAGAGGACCAAAGGGAAGGTTGCTTTCGGTTTTTTTAAACGGAGGTAACGTTGGTCACAACACTGTATAGGATTTATGGGGGTGCACGTTCACACCCCCTCGGGTGTGTGTTGCCACGCCACAGCCACCGCCAGGGGCACCCAGACCCCCCGCCAGGACCTCGGCTCCTCTCCCATGGCGCCTGCCCCCCCCTTCTGCGGTCGGTTTCCGGGGTCCGCCCTCCACTGGCCTGCGCCTTCCTGTGCTGCTTCTGCATATCCCGTGGGAGCGGAGCCACCTGGTCCCGTCTCCTCTCTCTGACGTCTCTCGTGTGGCACCGTCCTCTCAGCTCCAGCCGTGTTGTCACCAAAGGGAAGGTTCATTTTTCCCAGCTGAGTAGTATTCCACCGTGTTCACACGGCGCGTCCTGGGAATCCGCTCGCCTGTCCTCGGGCACTCGGGCTGCTCCACGCCTGCCACTGGGACAGGGGTTCAGCGAACACTGGGGTGCAGGGAGCCCTTCGACTTAGTGTCTTGGTCTTTGCAGAGTCACCCAGCAGTGGGATTGCTAGATCTTTCTGTAGCTCTATTTTTTTTTAAAGATTTATTTTATGCATACAAGAACTGGGGTGCAGGCCAGAGGTGCGTGCGGGGGGTGGTGAGAGGACTCCCCAGAGACAGAGTGGGGCGCAGAACAGGCAGATCTACTGAGACACTGGGAGGGGAGCCGCGGGGAGACGGGAGGGTCTGCCGCGCCCTGTGGGCAGCTCCCTGGCCGGGGATCGACTCCCCACTCAGGGGCCGTGTTCGTGGGCAGCTCCCTCGTGGTGGGGACACCAGCGGGGGCTGCTTTGGCCACGGGGTCGTCGGCTCTTCCGGAAGACGCGTGTGGACAGAGCAGCGCGGCCAGAGGGAGGCCTCGCACCGGAGGGGGCGATCAGGCTTTACCACGGGCGCCTGGGGAAGTGGATGCTGCAGGGACACGGCGCGCTCTGCCCCTCCGGTCACTGCGGTCACGGAGGCTCCCGGGGCGCCAGTGCCCAGCCCCGGGGCGCGGTCCCCGGCCAGGACTTGCGGCTGGGCTGCTGCTGTGCGGGCCCAGCACCGCGAGAACCAGCCGCAGCAGCCTGGGGTCACTGTTCCCTCGGGCGCGGCCCTTTCGCTGGCCGGGCGCCCCCTCTGCGCGGGGATGCTGGGGCCCGGCTGCTCCCCCGCGCGGGCTCCCGGGCCAGCGGGGCCGAGGCGACCCCCGAGCAGCGGGGCGGGGCCTGTCCCCGCGGGGCCCCTGGAGCCGGCGCCGCGGGGGTGGCGGCTCTGGGCCCCGGGGAGGCCGGGCCGGCCGGGCGGGGCTGCGGGGCGGGGCGGCCGCTGGGGGAGCCCGGCGCTGGGGCCCCGCCCGCGCCCCCCCCCCCCCCCGGGCTCTGCTGACCGGCTGTCCCGGCGCCCCGGCCGCGCACGTGTCCCCCGCGGACTGACGACGGCAGGACGCGCCCCTGGGCCCCGCGGCCCGCGCCGTCCCGGCCGGGCTGGGCTCTCGGCGGCGCCCCGGCCCGGCCGGCCCCGCAGGGCCTCTGGCTCCGCGTGTGCGGGCGCGGCCGCCAGGGCTCGGGGGCGCCGGCCCGGGCGCGGGGCGCGGGGGGCGCGGGGCGCGGCGGCGGCCGGGGGGCTGGGGCGGCGGCGGCGCGGGCCGGGCCTTAGGGCGGCGGCCCCCTCGCCGCGGGTGCGGGCGCGGCCCGGGGTGCGGGCCCCCCAGGGCCCCCGCGGCTCCCGGCGCTCCGCGCCCAGCCCCGCCCGCGCTGCTCCCCTCGGCCCCGGCCCGGCCCCGGCGCGGTCAGGGCAGGACCCGCGGCCCGAGTCGGCGGCCACGCGCGCCCCCTGGCGGCCGGGCTGGGCGCGCCGACGCCTCCGGGCCGGGCCGGGCCGGGCGGGTCGGCAGGGCCGTGGGGTCAGGGCTGGAGCCGGCGCGGTGGCGTCGGGGCGCTTTAATGGCCCGACCCCGCGCCCCTCTCGTGTCCCCGCTGCGGGCGAGCGGGCTCACCTGCCGACCCCCGCCATGTCCCGGGCCGGGCGGCTACCCGCGTGGCCAGGCGCGCGGCTGGCTGGGGTGCTGAGGGGTGCGGGACACCTGCACGCGACCCCCTCGGGGGGCCTCAGTTACGGGGGGGGGGGCCTCCAACCACCCCGCGGCTGGATGTGGCTCCCCCGGCCTTGGCCGCCGCTCTGCGCCCCGGTGCCACCCCGGACGCACCCCGGGCCTGGGCCAGCACCCCTGCGGCAGGAATGGCCCGGGCTTCTGCTACGCACCCCCAGGGCAGCTGGGCCGGCCAAGACCCCCCACCGCGGTCTCACCAAGTGCAGTTGTTAGGGGGAAAAGGCGGTCCCAAAGCAAATTCCATACAGGCTTTGTGGACTCCACCCCCACCCCAGGTCAAAGCCAAAGACACTGGGAACTCCACATCCCATCCCCACCCAAGGGAAGGTGGCTGGGACCTGAGGGTGGGGTTCAGCAGCCAGGTGGATACAAAAGGCAGACACGTGGGCTTTGGGGCGCTCTCCATTTTGGGGCCCTCGGCCAGCTCGCGGCGTCCGTCTAGCTCTGAGAGTGACTTTAGGTTTCCAGGTCGTCGGGTCGGGTAGGACGCATTAAAGACTTTATTTCCCTATTTTCTCCCTGAGTTGTCCATTTTCCTTATTTCTTTTTCTCTTGTAAATAAACCTTTTATTAACCCTTTTGCGTGTGTCTGTAGTAGAGTATTCATAAGTCCCTTTAAAGCGCGCGGGTGAGGACCCACAGCCAGGAACCCGTTTAATATCGGGGTTGCTCTATAACACAGTGACAAGCTAAGCGCCCGGTGACCCTCTCGTGGCACCCCCCCCCCCAGGAACCGCGGGGTCCGTGTCCCCCCAGCGCCGGGCAGGCTTCCGCCGTGTCTCATGTGGCAAAGGCCGAGCTAGACGCGCGCGGAACGCGGCTGCTGCTGCGAAAGCTCAACACGGACCCGCGTTCCCGCCTCAGGAGACGCCGGCGCCCGGGCCAGTCCTGCATGCCCGGGGAGGGCTCCTCGCGCCAGCAACCCCCAGCCTGCCCGCATCCGGCCTCCTGGGACAGCGCAGGCGGAGCTCATCCCGGGCTTGATGGTGGACCCTGAAGGGACCCCCACCTGTGACGGGGACAGAAGGGGCGGCGCTGATGCCAGCGCCGGGGGCCTCATGGTGACAGGACACAGCAGGAAGATCGGGGGCTGCCCTCCGGGGGAGGCTCGGCTCGGCACAGCAGCCAGGACGGCAGCCCCAGGCCTGACAGGCTCACCCCCGGGGCTCCGGACGCCAGCGGCGCGTGGGGAGGGTGCTGGGGGACGCCACCGAGCTCCCGGGGATCGTTACGGCAGTGACAGGAGCATGAAACTTAGGACAAGTTTTTATTGTGAAATACTGGATTTAGAAACAAGTACAAAACGCCGGCCGCAGGTCGTGTGCAGGCGCAGCAGCTCCGCAGCCTCCCGTGACAGCGCCGGGCCGCCCGCAGGGCGCAGCCGTCCGCCCGGGCCTCGGAGGGGCGCAGAGTCACAGGCCACGAGCACGCGAGTCACTCGAGCCCAGAGGAGCCTCCGGGCACGCCCGTCACCGCCGCCCTCCAGGGTCCAGCCGGAGCCGCTGCCAGCTCGCCACGGCCCGGCGGGCACGGTCACTGGTTCCACAGCTGCAGAAACTTCCAGTTGTAACGCGAGGCCGAGACACAAAGTGGGCGCTCGATGGGGGCTACATGCTGCGGCGCCCCCAGGAGGTTTTAACCTTGAAACTTACGAAGCTCCATTGCTCAGCCCGACGTTCCGTTGTCAACGCCGCCCCAGGCACGGGAGCGGCCGGCTGAGCAGCCTGGCGAAGCTGAGGAACCATGACGCAGCTGGCTTCCAAAGCGGAGCGGCTGTGCGACTCGCGGATGGCTGCAGAGCCAGGACGGCAAACGTGACAAACTGTAAAGAAAGGCATGGACGAGCTTCCACGGTTACCACACGCTGCGCACGCCGCCATGGCCCCACCAACGCTGGGAGATTATTGCGTGAAAATCTCATAAAAATAAGTGGGTTTAACGGTTCTCAGCCTCGACGGGTCCCAACTCTGCTGCCGCCCGGACACTGCCCTGACCGGGTAATGCTCCGGGGGCACTTCGTGGGGCGCGGGCGACCGGCCGGCTGCAGCGAGGCGACCTCCGACGGGGCGGTCACAGCCGAGCTCGTCTGAAACGAAATCTCTGAAGCTGATCCAGTCAGCGCTGGCGACTTGAGACAGATGCCCCTGCCCTCGAGTGCCCAGGGGCAGGGCTCTCGGCGTCAGCGGTGCAGCCGGCGCTCACGCTGCGGGCAGGTCGGAACCGGCACGTTGGCAAGACCAACCTCTGGACCCGCCGACACCACGGGCTCGGAGGAGACCACCAGGCGGTAACTTCAGGTGACCCGCCCCACCCTCCCTTGACTTCCTCCAGGCAACTTTACAGGCCCCGCTAGTTTTCTTATAAATAGTAAACCTGAATCTTACAGTAGATTCCAAATTATTCAAGATCATCACAGAATGATTTACAAGTTATTTAATTTTTCCAGATTTGCTTTAAACTTACACATGAAGGGCGGCGCACATAAATATTAACTTAGAGAACCACCTATTACGGGGACCGCAGATACATGGACCACGGCAGAAAATTAGTATTTTCAAAAATATTTATAAAAGAAAAATAAAGCAGAACATGTAGCCCACCAACAGCCAACATGAAGCCATGGACGTGAAAGGTAACGTTACTCTGTCTGAAGAGATTTAAAATGAAATCTTTGGGGAAGTATCCTGACGTGATTGTTGAATTCTCTGACCCAGAGCTTCCTGCCTCCCACAGAAACAACCCACAAAATCCTCCAAGGCCTACACGCGTGAGCAGCTCTCGAGGCCGCCTCCAGCACTGTCCGAGGAACTCCGGCTTCCCTTGGAAATAGGCTTCTGTACATACGCGCTTATATACAAACATTTATTAAACATGATTTTAAAACAAACTATGTACAAAAGATCAGCATTCCTATAAATAAAAACATTAGGTGGCAAAAAGGCACTTGTAAGTAAAAATCTACAGTTTTTACAAAACCAAACACATTTGACCTTGGATACTGTACAATCCACATTAACTCCTGTACCCACGATGAAGATGCTAGCTGACTCGTGTTACTGATTAACTTTTAAAAACATATGTACACAGACTCTGGAGTTCGTTTAGTAAAAGCACCATGATTCTCTCCGAAGTTGAGGCGAAGTGAAACAATCGCGCAAGCCAGTGTCCGCCACGCCGCGGCTCTGCACAGGCGGGGGAGCCGGCCCCGCCCTCCCTAGGGGGAGACTATTGCTGGCAAGAAAGTTCCTGGGTAGCAAATAATTAAAAAGTTACTTCAAACCAGTTGAAGTTTTATTTGAATGTTTTACAACTTAAAAAACGCTGCATATCGGTTACAAAAGTGAATAGGAAACGGGCCAATTCATCTGGTGTGCAAAAATAGTTCCCACTACACAGAATTTAAGGGCTTCACAGAATTGGTTTCAGATTTGCGTTTCCAGCAGGAAGGCTGCGAGCAGCCGCTCTCAGGGGGACGTGAGCATGCTTCCGCTCTTGTCAAACTTTTTACCCTTTGACAAGGCCGCGACCTGTTTGAGGAGTTCTCTGTTTTTGGCCTGCGGGAGACAAAAACATTGAAGATTAACAAGCTGCGCAACAGGCTGGAGAACACGGCTCCTCTGATGCTGCTCCTGCCCACACTGACTTCCCGGACACGCGCCCAGGGCCGAGCGCGCCGGTGCCTCCGGGGCCACTGCTGCCAAGCCGGACGCGAAGAAGGAACTTTCTGACCCGTTCACGGCCCCCCGGCCCGGGAAGGCCAGCAGGCGCCAGCTGGTGTCCGGGGACACCGTCCGTGACAAAAAAGGCAACTTGCAGGCGAAACCTATTTGGTTTCTCTCGTGGAAACACAAAATGGCAACTATGGAAACAAGGATTATTTTGTACCTAACCAGGTTAGCGTCTCCCGGCAAACTGCAGTTTCCACTTGGATGTCACCCATGTAAAGGGCGAGAGGAGATTCTTACTGCAAAGGGCTTTGAGTTTTTCGCTGGGGCGGGGGGCACTCCTGGACACCCAGTTTCTGGCAGCGCCGGAGGCCGCCCTCTCGGGCCGCTCGGGTCCTGCGGCTGGCGCTGGCTCCGTGGGCCCGTCCTGCCAGCGCGGCCTTCTGGTCCCGCGAGGCCGCAGCTTCTCCCAAGAAGCAGAATGGCCCTTGGCCTTCCGGGCTGAGCCCAGTCGGCGCGAACACTCTGCCCAGAGCGGCAGGGGCGCAGCCCGAATGACCGCAGGCGTCCTGCGAGGCCCCAGCAGTGTCCTCGGACCCTGCGCATCTCCCCGGCGGGCCCCTGGGGGCCCGGGCCAGGCGCCCTGCACAGGGCAAGGTGTCCGGAGGAGACGCGGTGCTGTCCGCCAGAACTGCGGCGCGGGCAGGCCTGGACCCGAGCGCTGCCTGGACACGGTGTCCGAGAAGGCGTCCCCGCCGGCCGGGGCCACACGCCGGCCCAGCCCGGCAGGCAGCTGCGGAGGCAGAAGCCCCCAGGCCAGCTGCCCTCACCGACGCTCCGCTCCACAGCGCGCCCCTGCAGAGGCGGTGAGCCACAGCTGCAGGTTGAGAACACCTTCGAGAGCTTGCAGGACTTTCATTTTCCCTCAAAACTAAGGTTTGAGAGACCCGAGAGTGTCACCCGGGGGCCTGGCAGGCAGTGACCAGGGCCGGGGAGCAGCCCCGGGGGACAGAGGACACGGACGAGCCACGTACACAGTCTCCCCCAGAGAATGGGGTGCCGCGAGGCTCAAAGATACCATGAGGGGGAACAGGACAGCCTATGGAAACCCCCAACAGCACGAACTAGCAGTGCATTCCGGGACGGAGCACCCGCCAGGCGGCGGCCGAGCTTGGAACCACACGGGGAGGGGCCCCGAGCCACGCCCTGATGGCAACTGCGCTCCTGCTCCTGGACTGACTCTGCTGGGGACCAGGGCACCCCCCCACAGCCAATCCTTGCAGAAGCTCTGTCGCCAGGCCTGCGTCTGGCCTTCCTAACTAGCCTGGCAGCCGTCCCTGCGGACAGGGGCCGTGGCCGCTCCAGGCGGCCTGCAGGACACGCGGCGCCTGCACAATCACTGCTCTTCTGGCTGCATGAAGGCCGACCACGTGCCAGGCTCTGCACAGTGTCCCCTCCGATGTGCCTTGTAATCGTGACCTTGCGGTGAAGATGAGGTGACCTGCGCCTCCAGTGTCGGCGGGTTCCTGCGTCCAGTTCGCAAGCTCTTCCACGTCGGCTACTCGCCCAGACAGGATCGCAGAACACCCTGGTCTGACACTGGTCATCAGCCCAAATGGGGCCTCCTTCCTTCCCGGGATGCACGCTCTCTTCTAGAGTCTAAAGTCTGTGTGCCGACGTCCCTGGTGCTTTGGAGACTTAAAATTTCTGAATTTACAGAACGCGGTTACCCAGAGATTACTTCACCCACGGTCAGCAGGGGAGCGACGCTTCAGTCTGGGCCAATGCGCGGCCAGCTGCAGCCCCTGGGGGCCTCTCGCCACTCACTGCCTGCCCAGCATCCAGCCTGAGGTCCCGGGCCGACTGCTCCCCAGCGTGGGCTGTCTGCACCCCAAAGGCTCCCGGGCACGCTCTGCCTCGGTCCAGAACGGTGCCCCAGGCCTCACCGGAGCCCCTGGCGCTGGCTACTCGCCTCCCTCCCATGACAGGGCAGCGGCGAGAGTGACAGCTCGACGCACGCATGGATTGTGCTCACACGCATCTGATGTTTAATTTGTTGCTTTTACCCAGTGATCAGATGGACACATTCTAGTGACATCCCCTAAAACTCTGATTGAAATTTAGGCAACACTTTTCAGAAAATGCTGAACACTCTTCTAGGTGATTTCGAGCAACTTTAGTGGGGCCAGGGTTGCGCAGGATTGTACCACGAAGTCACGAGCCAAGCTGGGCACACAGCAGGGCCACCAGCCGGTCCCCAACCACGGCCTCCAGCCAGGCCGCGCCCCTGCCCTAGGGCGGATGAGCGGGACGCACATGACACCACTTACCTGAAGTTGTTCCACGGTTTCCTTGTGAGCCTTCTCCATGCTGTTCATCTTGGTTCTCAAGTTCGACTCCTGGTACTGAAAGTCAGCCTTCAGTTCAGTGAGCTGGGAGACAAGGGGATACGTCTCTGCATGTGCGCGGGCACGGCACGTATGGGCGTGTACAAGGACACACAGGCGCCCGCGCAGACACGCCCCTCTGAGCACCCCTCCCCATCGCGCACAACAGGGAGGGGCCGGGGCCGGCAAGCTTATGGCCCACCCAGGGCTTGTGCTGTGACAGGGAGCGCTACGGCTGGATCCTGCTGTCATTTAAATGTAAATAGTATCAACCACCAGCTAAAACTTTTGAGAAGAATCTTTTCTGCTACTTCTAAAGGGTCTTCAGGGACCCTAAGGCCCGGCCTGCCGCCGGGTGCCCGCGGAAGCTGCAGGCACGCATGCGTTGCCGGCTCGTCTGGGGCTACTAGGGAGTCGCAGGAAAGACCGCCACAAGCTTATGTCACGAAAACATGGCTCCGTTCCCTCTGGGCCAGCCCGGAGACCAGTCTTGCTGGCCAAGAGGCGTGCTGCCTCAGGCTATGTCCAGAATGATGTGCTCCATCTGCCTAAAACCTGGGCCTAAGTTAGTCAAGATGAGGCAGAGCCAGGCTGCGGGGAAGCAGCAAGGAAGGCCACGTGGCGGTTTTTCTCAAGCGTCAGAGACATACGTGAAAAGCACGTGACTTCAAACTAAGAAGTTTTCATACGGAAAAGAGCGTCTAGCTATTTCCGAAGGGTCGGCATCACATAAGCTTTAAAGGTCGGCAGGTTCTTCCCGTAACTGCTGCTGCCACCAAACTGCATGGACAGTGGAGAAAGGGAGTCGTGGTGTCTGAGACGCGCATTCTCGGAACAGAAACTTGTTTTGTCAAATTCAAAGAAAGGCGGATTCTCTGTGTGCCCTGCTACATGGGACGCGTGCTCCGAGTGGCCAATCACGCAAGGTCAGCGGACACGCTGCCTCTCAGCGCGGTGGCCGCCGCCTCCGGGTTATGAATCTCTGGAAGATGAGGACGGTGTCTCATGTATTTATCCCTCCTCGTGCCCTTGGGATCCAGTACTCACCTGGCCCCGGAAGTCATTGAAGAGAGTGAAAAAAGTTTGAAAAAATAACGGGATGTCTTACAAGAAAACCCTGCGCGCGAGTAAGCGACTCCGGGTTAGCAATCGCTGCTTTCCCAGCACCGCTCCTGTCTAGCTCCACCACAGTTTAAAAAAAACAAATTAAAGTAGGAAACTTTCGACTAAGTGCGCACACTCAGGGGCCCCATGGCCAGGCCTGCAGCCGGGTGCAGGCGGAAGCCGTGGATGCTGCGGGCACACGCGCCGCACTACCTTTGTCTAGGTTAGTGCAGCTAGACCTGAGCCACAGAAACATTTCTAAAACTTGTGCATCAATTTCCAAAATCCCTAGTAATTTAAAACACTCTGATGTCAGTCAACATTAACCATAAAGACGACACCCTTAACTATCCTATTTTTATCTAGTGTCAATCCTAAATTCCTCGGACTGAATCGGCTCAGAGTACGGCACCAATGCATGGAATCTAAATCTGCTGACCGCCGAGGCGTGGGGAACATGGGCTGGCGCACCCCCGGCCACACCAGCTCGGACGCAAGCGCGGCCGTGGAGACGCAGGTCATTCACGCCTTGTTCCCAGTTTCAAAAGAAATGGTTTTAATATTTTCCCATGGCATGAATGTTTGAAATCAGCCAAACCGCCCAGCCTAGGAGTATGAAAAAGACGCTATCCACAAGGGCCAGACAACAGCGTCCCTGAGCTCGGTAAGCGCCGGAGCCTCCCTCACACCCTACAGCCGCCTGGGGCCAGCACCACACGCCCTGGGACTGGAGTGCAAACTGAGGCCCGAGAGGTGAGCGCCTCCCACATGGATTCCCACAGAAAGTGTGACAGCTGGGTCTGCACAGACAGTGCGGGGCAACCCCGTCCACGTCCCGCCTCAGCTGCGCCTGAGCAGCCGGAGGCCGCTCTAGTTCAGGGTGTGCCGGCCCCGTGCACAAGTCTGCTGGCGTCCTCCTGGTGACTAAGAGCACGCCGCATCTGCTACTCCTCTTAAGCCCCGCATCCGGGGCCTGCCGGCTTCCATCACGTGGTGCTGCTCTTGCCAGGAGACCAGAGTCCCGGCGAGCACACCCGCTCCTGCAGGATGGCCGGACGCCGCCCGCGGACCCTGCGCTGACCACAGCGGGTGCCCCATAGCAGGGCTGCCGCCTGGCACTCACTGTGGGTCACAGTAGTGGTGACGGGTGCGTCAATGTACATTCAATTCCTTTCTCAGATCACAAGAATTCATGTAATGTTCCGTGTGTATCTCGGTATCAGGCTGAGACATCAGCCGGGGTTTTCAGTTACGAGCTTACTGAAAATGAACGTTCAGAAGCGCGTCTGGGTCCCATTGCCATCAGCCCTCCCCTGACACCCTCTGGATGGCCACGCCGACCTGCCTGCCCCCCGGCCTCCACGGCAACCGAGGGGTGCTGTGCGCCTCACAAGGAGCGTGCACGACAAGCAGCCACAAACCCCTCTAGGCTAGTGACGCTGCCGTCAGCGACGAAGACTCCAGATGGGAATCTCACTGGTTCCCGTGAGCCACGTCTCACCTTCTTGTCCTTTTCTAAAATGGTCTGGTCTCTCTGCTGTAAGAGACGCTTAAGTGACATCACTTCTTCTTTCAGTTGACTGATCAGGACAAAATTGTCTGTTCCCCCACTATCTGCTGACTGATTTATAGAGCTACTAAAAAGAAAAAAGTAAAACACAGTTAAATGAAGTAGAAGGACAGTCAGCAGGTGTTCAAATTGCATAAATTAGACAATTCCACAAACATCCTTAAGGCTAATGCAAAAAAATATGTACCTGACAGAAATGGATGCAACTGGCAAATTACCTTACTAATGGCACACATTACATACACCTGCAGAAATATAATTCAGTATTAGCTTTTAGGGGGTCAATACTTCTAGTGTAAAGCAATAGGCAGCCAATTTGTACAGTAACATCAGCAAAGTTTTGGCTAATGAATTAAAACAGTCACGCTCAGAAAACTTTAAAACATTTTCAAGCAGGTCACTTCAAAATACCACAAGCAGATTTTTGTTTCACTGAGAATAACTAAGAGAATGTCCTGATCTCAGAACATTTGCTTTCCTTCCTTCAAAACCCAAATTTACTCCCCACATAGAACAACATCGTTCAGTGCCACTTTCCAGTTAACTTTAACTTGATGTTTACTCTTCCAGGTGACTTCAAGAAATCGATGTGGAAGACACACGTTTCTAGTCTTTACCTAGTAACCACTGGCCAGCCACCACAAATGCTCACTAAGCTGAGTCGTGACAACACCTAAGGGGTCCGGCTCACCTGTCCCCATTAGATGGCTTGGATTCCAATTTGGGTTTTTTCTTTGGAGTTTCATTCTGAATTGCTGCAGAGGATTTATGGCTGAAACCAAACATTAACAAGCACGGTTAGAGTGAAAAGGGCAGAGGAACTGAGTGCTCAGTTATTATTCTTTCCCTGAAATGTTATTCAACGCCACTGAATTTTTTAAAGCCTACGTTACACAGGGCGAGAGACGCCGTATTTTCACAAACACATCTCCAAACTGCTCCAGAAAAGATGCCGACATACGTACCTCTGTTTCCACAGTCCCTGCTCTTGCTCTGGACTCAGGTTGCTGATTCTGAAAGATACATATGACATCTAGTAATATCTGCGTGACACAAGCGTGCACCCCTCAACAGCACTCTCCTCAGGGAGGAACTACGCTCACTCCCTCTGTTCAGAGAAAGACAAATTCAACTGTTCTCCGGCTAAACTAGTATTTATTTAATGCACCGATTCGAGTAAGACATATATCCAATCAAATGATTACTAGCTGTGGATTAGGAAAGGTACGATGACCAGGACGGAACCTTCTTCCGTAACTCAGCCCCGCGTTACGCACCAACGCCTGGGGCACACGCGCAGGAAGGCTAAGGCGACAGGGCATCGTCATACTTAGGCTGCCCTTCCCACGGGAGACAATGCTGGCCGAGCTTCAGATTTAAGACCTGCCCAATAATCCTGCAAGGAGAGTCTTCCTTCGGGGAAGCGCAGGTGCCTCAGAACAGGATGTTAAGTTGGGCCAAGAACTATCCTGACGTCTACGTTTCTTTCCGAGCTTTCCCAAGAGCCCCCTCTGAAGTCTGTAGATCTTTCTTTAGTGCTGAGAAAGCCATGCCAAAAATACCGGGAAGCGTCGCAGTCACAGCTAATTATAACCCGACTCACACCACCACGCCGCCGCGCCGGAGCCCGCCAACCGCGTCTCCCCTGCACCCGCAGCCGTCCCGCCGCGAGCCGCTTCCTCAGCGCGCAGCGTGCCGGACCCCCACGCTCATGCGGCACAAGGAGTATAGGGGGATACTAAGAGGCCCTGGGCTGTGACCGTGTTAAAGTTACTTAAAATCCCTCGCCCTGGTCCTGTCTCTGACACGGGTGTAATAAAAAGCCGTCGGACCTGCGGGGCTGCAAGGGTGAGTCACGCCTGCCCACGCACTTAGCGCAGGGCTAGAGGGCAGGTGCGCGCGTGTGCACAGTTTACTGTCCTGTCAGCTCCACACAAAAAGTAAAGAAGTCGCGTCCTCAGGCGTCACCTGTAAATAAGCGCCATGGCGAGCGCGGCCCATGGGAGGCGCAGGACGCCTCAGCGGGGCACGGAGCGCTCTCCCCCCGGCCTCTGAGCCTGGCCACTCGCGAGCCAGACTGGCCTCCGCGCCCGCCGAGCGTGGGTCCCTCAATGTTTACCCATTTGTGCCTCCTGATTATTCTCACCTGTTGCCCTTGCGCGACACCCCACACTCGGCTGTCAGCCTCTGCCCTTCAAGCACAAACCACGCCAGTTATTTCCTACTCAAAAGACAAAAAATGGAAGCCAACCCCATCCTCCTTCCCTTTGCTCAAGTTACCAGGACAGAGACAGTTAATTATTTTGTCGTTTTTTTTTTAAAGCAACAAGTAAAAACATGGAGGATTTTTTGGTTCCTTGGGATACCCTGATACCAAGATCTCAACACATCTCCAGAGCAGCCAGGAGAGAGAAGCTGCCACTGAGACATCCAGAAATCTCCACCACAGGGGAGGCAGGTGGAAAAACTGACGCGAACGTCCCCAGGGCACCGTGAAATCCCAGCCTGGCCTCCGAAGGCTCCACCACCGGCCCCCAGATGCCAGCCGGGACATCCGTTTCTGGGAACAAAATGCTGCCGCTGCCTGTAATTCTAAAGGCTAATAGAAAAATTAAGCAAAAAATGTGGGGCTCTTCTAGAAAGGGTGCATGTCCTGTCCCTGTTTTTCCCATCCTGTGTTTAAATTTTAGTGTCCCTGATGTCTCCGTGAGCATTAAAACCCTTTAGATAATCCTTTGTGGCACACACGTAAAAGGCTCACACGTTAGAGCTAAAGAACTTTCCCAAGTCGCGACGAGTCAAGTTCTTATTTATTAGAAGGAAAATAAAAAATATCAGGTGGTCTCCATTACAGGAGGAATCTAAGGAAACCGAACAGAGTCCAAAAGACAAGACAGAACTCGCAGGCAAACCAGAGACCTGAGGCATGGGGGGCAGGCGGGGAGAAGGGTCAAGACAGGCGGGAAGAGCACAAGGGGCTGGGGTGCTGGGGGTGCTGGGAGAACTATGGGGACTTCCCCCGAGGGAAGAAACCAAATGCTGTCCAAAAATGAACAATGAAGTAAAAAAATTTGAAAGTTTAATTAAAAAAACCATTATTTCTCACACTTTGGGGCCCTCTGCGATTTAGAATCTTCCATCACGGTCACAAATGACGGGGTTTCACCCTCTGTCCGCAGAAACTGACGCGTGCATTTCTCAGCCACTGGTTTCAACGGGCCTAACTAGAGCAGCAGCCGAGAACCGAGGGCTGCAGGATTTTTCCATGTAAAACCGTTAACAATGAAACAACAACAACGGCGGCTTTGACGCCCTGAAGGATTGCTTTGAAGCCTCAATCTTTGAAGCGTTGACCCTGATTCCTTGCGTTTACCTGGCATAGCAGGATTCCCGTTTTCTGCAGTAACTGCCCGGATATTTTTACTATTCTGGCCACCAGCGGCACAGAGCCCGGATGCCCGGGCCTCAGAACGCTGAGGAACGCCGCGGAAGCGCCGCTGCCAGTCAGCACGTGCCGGGAGCTGGCCGCCAGCAGGCGGCGTCAGGACGGCAGGACTTTCCAAGCCTCCCTTGAAAGCACTTACTTGTGATGGCTGCCGCCGTGGCGGTGGCGGTGGTGGTGGTGGTGGTGCTTGGCGTGGGGCTGGTCCTTCTCCGTGAGGGAGGAGGAGGAGGAGTTCGAATGTGAAGACCCCAGGCTCTTCCTCTGCTCTTTCGTCTTCTGCAAGACCCTCTTGTAGGACAGAGTACAGAGCCAGCACAGCAACTTCCCATCGACCTCGTGAAAGACAGGATTCTTATTAGGTCAATGTGCCCCAGAGTGGCGCTACGTGAAACTAGTCAAGACACGCTCAACTCCCAGCTCCGTTTCTCCTGCCACCCCGCCGGCAGCGCGCCCTCTCTCACACGCAGAACTCGGCAAAATGGAAGTAAAATCAGGCTTTTCTGAAACCGGGGCGAGCGCAGGGAAGACGAGAGAACCGGGGATGCGTGAGAACGGGAACACGGAACCCACTCGTGCTGCGGCATTCTGAACCCGGAGAGAGGCGCTGTTCTCGTGGCTGGAAAGGAAGCCTAACCGAGGACACGCGTCCGCGAGGTTTCCTCTAAGCATCAGCCTCGGCTCTCAAGTCACGGATAAAGTACGACCCCCGCAGCAAGAACTCTTGCTCACAGAAGACAGGAGCACCTGCGCGACACGCCCAACCGATTCTCGCTACTCGTGAGAGTGACCGGTAAACTCCTCATGTGTGAATCACCCGCTGAGATTTACGGGGAACCCCGCACGGGCTCCCTCGCGGACCGCGTAGAGCGATGCACACAGGCCGCGGGCAGGCCAGAGCCCTGTTACCTTCCTGGAGCTCCCCTACTAGAGGCAAGGGCTGTTTTCAAGGTCTGCTTAGTGCATTTTCCCCATGTGTGAGGGCGAAGCCGCTATTTAAATGCTCCCCAGATGCAGTGCGGAAGAGCGCCCCAACCGCGAGGAGGGGGCTGCCGGCGGGCCGGAGTTACAGTGCTGCTGGGCGTGAGATCAAGGTCCTCCACCAGCCACACACCCCCCATCAATACGCACACCCCCACGAGGGTGTCAGACTGACGGAGGGTCAGGTGGCAGGAAGCGCTGACCCTGCCTCTCAGGAGCGAGACTTGGGGCTCCCCACTCAGCTGCTGCCGGCCGACCGCAAGCAGGTGAGCGGAGCGAGCCAACTGTGCGTGTGTCAAGGGGAGAGAGTGCTGCCCCCAAGTGTTAAGACTAAGCCTAGGAAAACAAATGAAGTGTCTTTCTCCCGTCCGTCTGCACACGGAGTCCTCCCGTCTTCTAACCCAGGCACATGCGCGGCTGTTGGGGTCTGGGAGCCCTCGGAGACCGTCCCCCTCCACGTCAGCTGAAACTGATGGACTGCAGGGGCCTGTTCAGCCGGCCGGCCACCGCCTGCCACATGCCCACTAAGTCACCGGAGATGGGAAATAAGCCCTGGTCTGAAACACGCGCCCGCGTGAAAAGGCAGAGCTGAATTTTGAGTCATTCCAGCCAACGAGCCAGCAGCCCTTTTTCACAGCAGCAATGCCAAGTCGCCAGCCAAGGGCAAGCAGCCGGACGGGATTTAAGGTTCTCCGGAGCCAATGCCAGATACCCTAAGTGCAGAGTCGTCATGAGCGCATTTTCTGGAGGCCAGCAATGCCCAGGGATCAAGCGGAAACGACGCATGCACAAGAGCGGCGAAGACCGTCCCTGCCCTTTCCGCAACCCCTTTCAGGGGCCCAACAAGACCCCATATGTGAGCAGAGATTCCCGAAGAACACAAATGCCACATACCTTCCTTCTCCCTTCTTCCTTCCGGTCGAAAGCACACTGCTGTTTGCACTGCTCACAGGCCTGAGGCGGTCCGTATTTTTTTTCTGAATTTGTACAACGCTGACATTTTGTACCAATAAACGCTGCGATGATGTTACAGTACTGACAAGGCTTAGGCTGAACAAGAGAGAGTGTCTTTAGTTGAGACATTGAAAAACATCAAAAAGATGCCCCTTAGGACACACCCAGCGGATGGACATTATTCTGGGATGGAAGACAACACTAGGCAAACGATCTATCTGGGGCGTACCACACCGTGCTCAAGGACATTTGTCACGTTTCTAGTCATTCAACTAATATTTATTTCTGGCGTCGTGAAGGTCACTGTTACACTACAGAATAGTTAAATGAGATCATGAAAAATGCATTCACGATTTGCACAGTACACCATAAATACAAAAGCCCCACATGGAAAAACTCTGAAAGAACGAGAACGAAGGTATATGCTTTGACGGAAAGTTTATGTAGCCAGCATCTGCGGGCATGAACTTAGCTTCATTACATCGTTTGCTCGAAACACATTTAATAAACTTCATCACCTACGGGTACGGATGGCACATGGAATCTATATACAATTGGGAAGTTTTCAATCTGAAAAACTTGGGGCAGCCCGTTTAACCTAAAGTATAACAAACACACCTTGATTTTCTTTGCTATTCGAGACAATTCAGCAGCTTTAAAGCAGTAAGGCAGCCGCTTGGCCTGACTGACTCTAACCAGGTAAGTAAATAACGTGCCCCAGAAGAGCTCACAGCTTCGAGGAGTAAATGCCTGACTGTGCTGCCATAACATACAAAGGTTGTACCAAGTTAGCTATATTTGAATCTTTAATATATTCATACATTTCACAATGAAATTTATATACATGAAACACACACACACGATACGACTTTGTAAACACCACCTTCCTGTCAGACTGTCGATAAGAAATTTCTTTCTGAAATATTCTGGTATGTAGAAACATGCAAGGACACACAGTACATTATTTTTAAAAGGTTCGTCTTCGAGGAATACATCGACCAGCGGCAAGCAACAGCAGGAAATGGAAATCTAACTTACCGTGCCAAACTGTTTCACGTTTTGAGCGCACTTCTTACAAATTGTGTTCGTTTTGCTGAAAAGGTAATTGCATATAGATCAGATTTATGTAGCTGAGGAAATTAGTACAAATTAGCAAATAGATGTGTAAACGTAAAACTTAACTCTAATGTGGAGGAAGGATTGCTTAAAAAACACAAACATAAGATCTTTTGAGAACTGTAAACTAAGCACATTTAATTCTCCATAACTTAGGATTAATGTTTTTAAGCATTTTCAGTGTGTATTTTTTGGTAAAGGAAATAAAAACTTTGAATTTCCTCTCATTCATTCCAGAAACTTCACACGCGTCACCCTGAAAGCAGAGGATGACCGATCTGTGCTCAGCTAACCTCTGCCGGCCTCTCCATGCTGCTGCCCACAGTGACCTGTGAAGACCTGACTTGCTCTCCTTGTAGGCCGGGTGTCACGTACGCTCTCGCGGGGCAGCACCCCGTCACAGCGGATGTGACCAGCCAACACTCTGCAATTTCACCATTGCAGAATCTCAAAAAGAAAAATAATCAAACTCAGGACAGGTGCCTGAGGGGCTGGGAGGGAGCAGGTGAAGGGGTCAAAGGTAGAGCATGACTACAGCTGGCTAGGCGAGTAGATCCCAGAAGTTCTCAACACGGGGGAAAAAAATCTACGTGGGGATGATGTGAACCGGATTTATTTTGGTGCTAATTTTGCAGCATGCGCAGATACCAGTCACCATGCTGTCTAGGTGACAGAAATGTGAATGTCAAAGATGCAACAATTTACTCCATTTTTAAAAATGTACTTGATGTGGCTGTCAGCACTGCACACCTCTCCTCACACCTGCTGCACACCTCTCCTCAGACCTCTCCTCACACCGACTGCACACCTCTCCTCACACCTGCCACACACCTCTCACACCTTCCCTTACACTTGCCGCACACCTCCTCACACCTCTCCTCAGACCTCTCCTCACACCTACCACACACCTCTCCTCACACCTCTCACACCTTCCCTTACACTTGCCGCACACCTCCTCACACCTTCCCTTACACTTGCCACACACCTCACACCTTCCCTTACACTTGCCACACACCTCCTCACACCTCTCCTCAGACCTCTCCTCACACCTACCGCACACCTCTCCTCACACCTGCCACACACCTCTCACACCTTCCCTTACACTTGCCGCACACCTCTCCTCACACCTTTCCTCAGACCTCTCCTCACATCTCACACCTCTCCTCACACCTGCCGCACACCTCTCCTCACACCTCTCCTCACGCCTCCCCTCGGGTCCATTCCAGCCCTGGAATTCGGCCACTTTCTTAACAGCTGAGCAGTAACTTCACCTGCACTTTCACTAGCAAGTTTGTCCATTTTCCACGCCAGAATGTCCTCCTGCTTCCTCGCGCGGCACCTGACGTCTAGTCAGGACACTATTTTATTATTTCACCGTCTCCCCCACGCGCGGAAGGGGCCCGTCCTAACGCGCCCGAGGCGAATCCGCCTGCCCCGACAGGCGCCGGGGCCGTCGGGGGGCAGGTGCGCACGAACCTCTCCTGCTGGAACTCCGAGCGGCAGTAGGTGCACTTCACGATGGGGTGCGCGATCCGGCACTCCTGAAACAAGGCAGCGCGTCAGCCGCGCCCGGCCCCGCCCCGGCGCCCGCGCCCGCGCCCGGGGGGGGAGCCTCCGCGCGCGGCCGGCGCGGCGCAGCCCCGGGCGCCGGGCGTCTTTGTCTCCTCGGGGCCCCGACGCGCCCGGGCGGCCGTCAGCGGGGGGCCCGGCCCCCCGCCCGCTCCCCCCGCCCCGGGGGCGCCGTCCGCTCCCCGCTCGCGGGCGCGGCGGCCGGGACAGCGCGGCGCGGGGGGCGCGGACACAGGTGCCGCCGCCCGCCGGGAGCGCCGGGACGCCGGGACGCCGGGAACGCGGCCGGACCTTGCAGAGCTGCTGGCCCTGGGAGAGCTCCTCGAAGGGGAAGCGCTGCGTGCACTTGGTGCAGGCGTACAGGGCCGAGGCCGCCATCCCGCCGCGGCCTCCGGGCGCGCCGCTCCCCCGCGCGGCCCGCGCCCCGGCCCGGCCGCCTCCCGCGCTCCCCGGCCCGGGACGTCCGGGCGCGCCTAGGCCGACGGCGGCGGAGGGACACCAGCGCGGGCGGCCGCGGGTCGCTGCGCGGCGGCGGCGGATCCGCTTCCTCCTCGGCCGCCCGTCCCCGCCCCTGATTGGCCGGCGGCGCGACGGCGTCACCCGGGCGCCCCGCCCACCCCCGGCCCCGGCGACGCAGGCGCGCCCACAAAGGGTGGGAGGCGCCGGCCAATCAGGGCCCGACGCCGTCGGCGCGCGAAACCCGCTTTAAACCCGCCCCGCCCACCGGCGCGCCGCCGTCTCAGCGCGGGCGGGCGGGAGCGAGCGCGCCACGGGCCAATCGCGCCGGGCGCGCCGGGGCTGGCTCTGCGCGCCGCTCTCCGGGGCCGGCCGCCCATTGGGCGCGCTCCTTAAGCCCCGCCCCGCCCCGCTCGCTATTGGCCCGCAGGCAGTGTCTCTCCCGGAGGGGCCTCCGGAGCCGGGGCCTCCCGGAGCCGGGCCTCGCGCGCTCCTGCGTGTGGTGCGGGCGCCGGTGCGTGTTTGCACGTCGCGCTGGCCTGGACTCTGCCGCGATCGCGCCGCACGGTCGCCCTGGAGACGGTCCCCCGCGCCGCGCACGGGGCACCCCCGGCCGCCAGCCGCCCCCTCGGCGCCGCGCTACCTTGTGACGTCACCGCGGGGCGGGGCGGGCCCTCGGCGACTCCCGGAAGACGTTCGCTCCTTTGATTGGCTGCTAAGGGCGTCCGTTAGCTCGCGTCGTGCCTGCGGCGACCGCCGGGCGCAGCGTCCCCGGGTCGTGAGGCGGGGGCTCCCTCGCGCGCACCCGCACCCCGGCGCTCCCGCGGGGCCGGCCCGGTCGCCCCTGGCGGGCGGCTCCCGATCGCGGCGAGGGCGCGCGTGCGGCCCGGCGCTGCGCACCGGGGCCGGGAAGATGGCGGCGTCGGTGTCCACGGCGTCCGGCGCGCAGCTCTCGGTAAGGCCCTGGGGTCCGGCCCTCCCCGCCCGACCCGCCCGCGGCGCCGCTGCCCGCCCGACCCGCGCCCAGGCGGCGCCGGCCCCGCCGCCTCGGCCGTGCGGCCCGCGGGTCCCCGCCGGCGGCCGGCCTCCCCTCGGGCGCGTGGCGCGGCGGCCCCGGGGCGCGCACCTGCCGGGGAGCGCGGCCCCAACGGTCCGCAGCCGCGGGGCGGCGGCCGAGTCGCCCGCCGGCCGGGCGTGTGGCGCCGCCCCGGGCCCGGGCCCCTCCCCGCAGGCTGCGCCCGGCCGCGGGAGCCCTCCTGGGCGCTGCCTCCGCCCCGCCGGGCCCGCAGCCCGGGCGCGCCGCGAGAGGGCCGGCGGTGCGGGCTCGCGCCGCAGCCGTTCACTCCGCGAGGGTCGGCGCCGAGGCCGCAGGATCGCGGGGCCGGCCCTGGAGGAGCAGAGCAGGGACGTGCGGGTCCCTGGGGCGCCTTCCCGGGCGCAGTGGCCGCCACACCCGTGGGCAGCGCGCGCCGGGGCGAGCGTGAGCTGGGTGGGCAGGGACGGGGTTCTGGAAGGGAGGATGGGCGGGGGGGGGGGAGGCAGAAGTGCCCCCAAACAAAGATGCGGAGAAAAGGCAGCGCAGGCCTTTTGAGTTACGGTGCCCGGACAGCGTGTGGCTCAGGGAACTGGACGCCCTCTGGGAGGGTCAGAGTGGAGCGGCGTTCGGGGTGGGTTCGGGTGGACGGCGAAAGAGGGGCAAAGCTTGGGAAACGCGAGGCCATGAGGGAGGAAAGCAGAGCGGTAGGTAAGGCTGTGGCATGGCAGCCACCTGGGGAGAAGCCGGGAATGTGAGGCCAGCAGCGTCCCCTTTCCTTAAGTCGCGTTGGGTTTGTGGTGGTGGGGCCAGAAGCACGGGTCTGGGTAAGTTCCCAGAGCGCCCAGGGGAAATTAGGGCGAAGGGGTGAATGAAGTTTTGGAGTTCAGAAATTAGATCAACAAAATGAACAATTAGGTCTCTTGGGCTATAAAGAAGGATTCTTGGGCAATTTGAAGTGACAGTAGGGAGAGGGATGAGATACGGAGAAAATGTGATGGGCTAAACGTGGGTGGGAGCAGGCCCTGCACAGCTCAGAGGAGCCCTTAGAGGCGGTGCAGGGACTGCTCCTGAGCACTGAGCTGCTTCCTGCCAGGGCCGTCCAGGTGAGCAGTGTCGCGTGATGCGGCCAGCCGCCTGTTTTTGAAGTAGCCTGGACAGAAATTCCTAGAGTGTTTAATAGGAAAAAGTAGACATTTTTATATGCCAAGCTCTGCTTTAAGTGGGTTCCTAATATGACGAGTACACAAAGAATAAACCCTCTGCAAATCAAAGTCTAGCCTCAGTCTGCTTGCCATACTTCATGAAATGCTGTAATCTGAAAGTCACTATGTCTCAAGTGATTAAATTTAGTTTGCTCTTCTGTGCGTGACAGTGCCCTGCTTAGACACTGCCATGTCAGCAGTAAGGCTGGTGCTTCCAAAATACCTTAAAAAGCGTTTTAGCTTGATGACAGCTGATGACACATAAGATAGCATAAAAAGACCTCAAACTACAGCAGGAACTCAGAGGCCCCTGTGTTGGGATTTCAGGGTCTGGAACATTCAGTAGCTCGCAGGTATTCAGCATGCGCAGACCCAGCAGGGAAGTACTGCAGAGTCAATGGAAGGGCTTTACCTGCAGAGAGTTGTAACAAGTAGACTCAGAGATTGTTAGGAATCCCCAAGGTGAACTGTATGGAAGTAGGTGATACATGTGACTTTTCGCAGTGAAAATACTAACATTTTTGCAACAGTGGGTGGCTGCAGGGAAGCATCACACCGCCTGAGGAGCTCGGTTGGGCTCCGGGAGTACAGCGCTGAGGTCGCCACTGTTGACACTTGTTACTTTGGCCTCTGACCCCCTAATTGGTCTCCCTGGCCAACCCGCCGAGTTTTTGTTTTTTTTTTTAAATTATGTGGCTCTATCACAGGTTTCAAAATAGTCATTGTTGAAAATCACGACTCTTTTTATGTCCAGGCAAGATAAACGTAGCAGATGGAAGGTGGGGTGTGTACTCACTTTCTAGAATTCAGAAAGGTGGTCATTATGGTTGCGAAATAAGGGGAGAGGGTGTGTGGCCAGAGCGTGGTCAGGGTCCGCCTCAGGGCAGATTGTGTGGGGCTGAAAACCGTGGCCAGGATTTTGAATTTATTCTGTGGTGGACAGCCACTGCAGGGCCCCGGTCCCTGGGTTTTGCTTGAGTTGGTTACTTGAAGTTGATGCGCTCGGAGCAGCTCCCTGGAGAGCAGGCTGAGGAGGGTGAGGGACAGGAGTTGTGGGCAGCGGCTGTGGTCGTCCAGACTAAAGGTGGTGATTGCGTCAGCCTGAGAGTTTCTGAACTGAGGCCAAACTGCGGTTTCTGTGTATGTTCCGAAGAGGGAGCCCCAATAAGACTTCCTGGAGAATTAGATGTGGGGTGTGTGAGGAATGACCCCATCCGGTCCTGGAGGTTTTGGCTTGAGCACCGGAGTCAGCAGTGATGCCAGTTACTGTGATATGGGCGGGGTGGGGCGGGGTGGGGGCGTCTGCACCTGGAGCTCCCTCGGCGCTGACAGGGCGGGATCCTCAGAGGCAATCCCTGGGGACCACAGGAAATGGGCAGGGACTAAGCCGTGGCCACCTGGAGCCTGTAGAAAAAGGAGGAGGAGGACAAAGAGTTTTGGGGGAAGGGGTCTAGGCGTGGGGAGCAAGACGAGAGCATGTGGTGTCGCCTTCGCTGAAGAAAGTTGCGTACGGTCAAGAGCTGCAACTGGGCACCATCGGGCTGGTGGGGACTCAGCTGGCGGGAGCGGGCCAGGGGGCGGCCTTGGGTTAGAGCTGAGAGATGAGGCAAAGCTGGAGCGCATCCTGAGGAGTGGTTTGTTCCACCCTGAGTGGTGACGGAAGGTCAGGCGGGGGGGGAAGGGCGGCGGGGGCTGGGGGAGCGGCTCTGGCTGCGGAACTAGCTCATTGTTGGGTCACGGGCAGAACCAGAACGCGTGTCGGCTCCCACGCCCGAAGGCGCCTCGCCCGCACGCCGCCCCCCGCCTTCTCCTCCTCGGTGACCCAGCGAGCTCGAGCCCTTGGGTCTGGGTGTCCCGGCTTTTAAACCTGGTCCTGTGGTGACCCCTGAGCTGAGGATCTCCCCCGGCGGCGCTCCTCCGCGGGAAGCCCTGGCTGCCCCGGGCTCGCCGACCTGGTCTCCCCGCGCAGGTGGCCGGGTCGCTAGCTGGGCCCTGTGCGGCGACGGCCTGGGCTACTCCCCCGGACCGCGCGCGAGGCCATTTCCTTCCTCTCTCGAGGCCGGGTCACTCGACGCGCGCCGCCCCGGCTTGGGCTGCGTTTTTAAGAGACGCGCGTGACGCGTGTGACGCGTGTGCCCCTGAGGCGTCCGTCTTTCATTTCTTGATTTTTATTTCAAAATAGTTCTTGTCATTTTGTGAAGCTGCTTTGTCTGGATTGACGTGGTCTTCTAGTCTGCCCCCGCCTGCCGTGCTGAGATGGGGCCTCGCGCGGGCCCTTGCGTGAACAGAGCGCGGCTTGCGTGAGAGGAGCCGCGCGGAAGGGGGTGCGTGACGGCCCGCGGCGGCTGGCTCGGGTGCGCAGCGTCCGGAGGAGACAGGGCGCCCGCTGCCGTGTGTGTGGAGATGTGCTGGTGAATTACTCGCCCGGGGGAGTGTTTGCAGAGCGCTGTGCTGGGAAGGGTGCACGGCGCGGAGGTCCGGCGCATCTGGAGGCGGCGTGTGCGAGTGAGACACACGGGAAGGGACGCGTCCTCGCCCTCGGGGCCTGCGTGGCCGTTGCTGCTCGAGCCTCACTGTCCGAAGACCCGGGACTCTGCGGAGTTGCGCTGCGCTCGGGGACCCTTCCTGGGTGCTTTGCCAAGACTGGTGTTATTGCGTATTTTAAGAAGTGAAAGCTCACCCTCATTTCCAGCCATTTCCAAAATCAGGTATCAGTTGCCAGAAAATGTGAAAAATGCTCGCTCCTTGTTGCGCGTGAACACGGTTTTCGTGTCACTGCTGAGGTTTGTCCCTGCCCCTCCAAGCTCTGGGCCTTCCCCAGCTGGGACCGCCAGCAGAGGGATGCTTTGGACTTCGTGAAATCAGCCGGTGGACCGCAAGGTGATGACGGGCAGAGAGTCTTCCGTTTTTCAGAAGACGGAGATCCAGTGTGGTGGCTGGGATGGCGCGGACGGTTACCGCAAATCCTCAGTGTTCCTTACACTTCTCTGGACACGGACGCTGCTGGTGTTTAGGATCGGCTGTCGCAAGGGCGAGCGCGGGGGGCCCCGTTTGCGGCGGCTGTCTTAACAGCCGGAGCTGACGTCTTTGACCGGAACCCTCCAGTTCTCCCGATCGGCCTGTCTGGTGGGAAGACCCCATGACGGAGAACGCTCCAGAGCTCGCACTCCCTGCGCGGAGCAGCGCCGAGAGCAGAGACGTGCCGCCGGCTGCGGGAAGGCGTGCGCGTGCGAATCGTTTGTGCTCGGGTGTCTGATGGGCTGGGATGCGCCTCGGGTCTGTGCTCGCCGCCCGGGGCTGGCGGGGACGCTGCCCTTCTCCTCCTTCTGTTTGCGCAGCTTTTGGACATTTTAAAAATGCTCAGCGGGCAGCTGGCTGATCGGGGATAGGTTCATGCGGTCATTTTGAAGCGATTTTTTGACACTTAAAAAGACATTTTACAGCGCGTATTTTTAAAAACCATTAAATTCATTGTGAGCCCATCGTAAGTGTTTCCGCGCGGGCTTTGTTCTCCTTTCCCACGGGCGTTATTTTCCTTTGGTGCCGTGTGACACGGCTCAGTGTACACAACCGGGAGACTCTGCACAGGTGTCACCTCCCTGGAGGGCGCCGGGGGCACCAGCGGAGCGTGCCGCGCGCGGGTGTCTATGTGCTGATTTCCTCCAAAGCCTGGGAAGTTAATTGCCCTATTTTCATTTTTCAGAGCACCGTGGCCGAGCCAGCGAGGGCGAACGGAAGCATGGTTCGCCAGGCCGCGTCCCCTTACGTGGTGTACCCGCCCGATAAGCCTTTCCTTAACAGTGACCTGCGGCGCTCCCCGAGTAAGCCCACGTTCGCCTACCCCGAGAGCAACAGCAGAGGTACCGGAGCCGCGCCAGGGCTGGGCCTGTCTGCGCACTCACGCCGGGGCGGGGGAGGAGCCGTCTCCCCTTCCTGGCTCCATCTCCAGCTGTAAGGCCTTTCTTGTTCCCTCAGTTGGCGGACACCCACGAGATTATCAAAATGAAAGCGAGTCTGCAGTCACGGGGCCGTGCGCCTCGCTCGCGTCCTGGGAATCGGGCTTACGTCTCTGCTTCTGGACTGGCGGGCTGTCTGCACTCTCGGCTTTCTGCTGGGCTCTGGCTGTCACGTGGCTGTGTCTGTCGGACGCACCTGTCACTCACCCTGCCCTCGCCCCCTCGCCCCGGGTCGCATGTCTGCCCTGCCTAACTCGCCATCCCCCGCCGCTTTACGCAGAACGGCTCAGTGACTTTCCATGACTCACGTCATGAAGGCTCAGCGCTTCACACGCTGGATGAGCCGCCAGCTCCCTCCCTGGCTTCTCGTCGCTTCTTCCTTCACACACACACACCCTGTGTTCTGGCCGCTTTGCGATCCAGTTCTTCCGGGCCGGGCCGTCTGCAGTTTTCTTGCTGCCTTAACAAGCTGGCGCGCATGCAGCAGCTCTGAGGGACACGGCCGCACGGTCCAGCGTCCGGTGGGCACCTGCGGTTTTCATAGCTGGACCAGGGCCAGTCCGGCCGAGTTCCGTACCGGGGCGCGCCGGCTACCGGCTCTGTCCGATTCTTGACCAAATTCGGTGGCTGTGGGGAGGAGCTGGGGCTGTGGCTGCTGGCCCCCCTCAGGGCTCCTGGAACTTGGCCTGTGCCTCCACCCGCCCAGCAGCAGCAGCCGGGCCTCCCGCGCCCGAGCCTGCCCGTGCCGGCCACTGCCTTCCATCCCTGCGCAGAGCATGTCCTGCTGGCACTCTGGCACCGGGTGGGCCGCTCGCCTTAGCTGGGACTGTCTTCCTGTCTGGGCCCAGCTCATCAACCACGTTGAAGTCTTTCACATCTCACAAAGGGTTTCCGTGTCCAGGATTAGGGCCTAGGCCTCTTGGGGGTGTCCGTGCTGCCTGCCACCCCACCCACGTCAGGTGTGGCACCCTTTCTGATGCTGTACTCGCCCAGTGAATTTTTCTTGTTAGAGAATTGCCCTTTGTCTTAAAGCGCACGTTACTTAGCCTTCTGCACAGTCCCCTCCGCCAGCTGCCCTAGCACACGGCCTCCCGCCACCCTCCGGTGTCGCTTCTGAACTCTCTTGGCCCTTTGCTCACGCGTTGGCCGTGGTTTCTCTGTCCACCCCATAGCGAACGTAATTACCGCGGGATCAATGAGAAGAACAGTGGGCAGGTGCCGGGGGTCCCGACTCCCAAAGCATCGCTCAGACCGTGTTCTGGAGGGCTAACAGGAGCGTAATTACTGTTTCTGTTTCTTACCGACATGCCGTCCGAACTAGAAGCAGTAGTGCAGACTTGGTGCTAACAGCTAGCTCTCAGACCAAGCACCCCTGCCACGTGCCCACCACACACCGCCGCGCCCCGCCACCGTGCCCTCCTGTGTGCTCTGGGGGCGCTTACCGGGTTTCGGTCGGGGTCAGAAGTCAGTGGAGCCCGAAGCGGCGCCAGCTGGGCAGAGGCCAGGGGGAGGCTGGAGCAGCAGTGAAGGGAATAGATGAGTCTTGAGGCCAGGGTGCATGCGTGATGGTGACTGACACAGGTTACAGGGAAAAGAGCATTTCAGAAAGATGAGTTTACTTTCGGCTTTACTGAATTTGAAGTGCCCGTGGATGACGTGAAGATGAAACTTTTCACATGTGCTAGTGAGCTGGGGCTTCACAGGTCCAGCAGTGGCTGAAGCTCTGAATGGAAGGGAGTTTTCCAGACAGAAGTAGGCAAAGAAGCGAGGGCTGGGACATAGCTGCCAAGGGAGGAGAGTCAGAAAGGTGAAGCTGCCCAGGTGGGCTCGAGGGAAGTCAGAGGCGCGCGCTTGGCAGCCGGGGATTTTCCTCCCGTGGGCGGCGCCAGCCCGTGCTGACAGAGTGGCAGGACGAGGTGCCCCTGGCGGTGGGCGTGGCGAGGTGTGAGGCCATGTGAAGAACTGAATAGTTAGGGTATCGCTCTTCCCGAAGAGCCGCCCTCCTCCGCGGGCCCGCGCGTGAACTGTATTATCGGAGTGTCTCCTGTTCAGTGAACCTTCTCCCGTGTATCGTTGCCTTAGAGTAGCCGTGTTTGTTTTGGCAGCCATATTTTCTGCTCTGAAGAATCTTCAAGATAAGATTCGACGCTTGGAACTTGAGAGGATTCAGGCAGAAGAGAGTGTGAAAACCCTGTCCAGGGAAACGATCGAATATAAGAAAGTACTGGATGAGCAGATACAAGAAAGGGAGAATTCAAAGAATGAGGAATCCAAGCACAATCAAGGTCTGTTTGATTGGTAGAGAAATGAAAGCTGTCCGAGGGTAAGGGACAGGCCCTGGGCACTGTCCTGTGCTCGGCGCACCTGCAGGACATGCCAGTGTTGACCAACAGCTGCTGCCGTCTTGCACGTCTACTGGCAAAGGCAAGATGGGCTCGGCCAGCTGTGGAGAGACAACGACGCAGGCCACGCGAAGAGCCGGGGGCCGCTGGAATGGGTTGTGCGTGTCGGCTGTAGATTGAATTCCTGTTCCACAGGATTTTTAACAGTTCCTTGTTAAACAATGAGTGACCTAAGTTCTGCTTTTCTTCTGTATTTTTAGAACTGACGTCTCAGTTATTGGCGGCAGAGAATAAATGCAATCTTTTAGAGAAACAGCTGGAATATATGCGAAACATGATAAAGCATGCAGAAATGGAGCGGACGTCCGTCCTGGAGAAACAGGTATGGCGCCCGCGGTGTGACGCGTCCTCAAGAACACTTGGTTAGGAAAAAATCAGATGGAAATGAAAACCTCTGCTCCCTCCGTGGGGACTAGTCACACTGTTATTTTGAATGATCGTTTCTCCTTTGATTTTAAACTTCTGGTGATAGGATCTGTGGTTCATTTTGAAGAGCTCCTAGTATGAGCTTGGAGGACAATGTGGCTTGTCGGCGGAGCCAGGATGCACGTGCTCCGCGCCTCCTGAGCGGCCTTGCTGTGGAGCAGTGAGACCCAGGCTGTTGCTTCCGTCAGCTGTGTCCGGACATTTGTTCGCTGCCTTTGTTGTTACCTCTTCAAGTCACCTTCATGACGTGAAGTCTTACAAAAAGTACAAATAATTATATTACGTGTCTCTCTACTCTTGAATTTGTTTAGAAGCTTCAGTGAGGCAGCGATAGGAAGGTTCTTAGTGCTTTGTAAGCACTCTTCATGGAGTGTCACGTGAGAGGTGTGTGTATTAGTGGCCTGTGAGTTTGCTGCAGCATCAGCCTCAGAGAGCTGGAGAAACATACCGCTTTTTTCTATTACGAATCTAGACATTGAATTTGCCATGAAGACCACCGTTTCTGAGCATCTTAACCTCAGCATGCAACATTTGAATGTTTATATGCTCAACATTTTGCTGGATGTTCTGCAGCATGAAAGAGAAATCCTGTGTTTCTGCCTTCAGTCCACATTCAAAGTGGAGAGTCAGACTTCAGGGGGAAAAGGAAGTTATTGGACAGCGTACGGCAGGCCTCAACAGCGCGTGCTCCAGCGCCATGCCCTTGGCAGTGGGGGCAGCGTGGGAGGCAGTTGTGCACTTGCTCTTCTGGGCCTTGTGGCCGCACTGCTTCTGGCCCGTACTTATGCTTGTGCATTGGCACGTGACTGTGCCTGGCAGCCGCACGGGGCTGAGGATCAGGACGCGCCTTTCTCTTACTTTGGGGCACCCTCTCTTCACTCAGAGACTCCTCTGCTCTGCTTTCAGCTTCACCGTGATTATTCCTGGTTCCCACGGGGCACTTCTCTGTTGGCTGTGGGGGGTGGGGGGGAGCAGCTCAGTCTGTCTCTCGGTTGGGACTGGCAGCCCGTGCACGTGTGCTCCCAGGGCAGAGGGCATGTCCATGCGTGACTGACGCAGAATATGTAGAAGGGGCGTCTTTGAACGTGGCTTCTTCAGCAGTTTTAAATAATAATTTTGATTGGGATCGCACAATAAGAATTACTCCAGTACTGGAAATAAAATATAAATCTGCGTCTATATTTAGCTTAGTGTATTTAAAGTGCTGCAACTATCCGTCGCTAAGGCGGATTGGAGTTAGTGTTTCACACAAATTCCTGAGAAAATTACTGCTTTATATTTTGCTCACGTGTCAGTCGGCGGGATGCCCATTGCTAGAGTTAGTTATGTATGAAGAAAACCGTTTGTAAATTCAGGTACCTAGTGTTTTGGTTTTTTATCAATAGGCCTCAAGTTAGCGTATTGCTGCTGCTTATGTTAGTGTAACGCTTTGCCCTGTGACTCTTGGCCCTCAGTTTTGATAGGACTTGAAATTTTTGGTCCTAAACCTGAAAAAAGAAAAAATGAAAATTTTCATAGAAGTCTGAGGAAGCATGATATCAAAATTGTTGCCTTAGTGAAGAGCTCGACTGAGAGACACCACTAGGTCAAAGTGTGGTTCTGCTCAGTTCTTTCTTCCCAGAGCGCAGTCTCGCCACAGAAACACGCTGTGACGTGCATAGTGAGAACAGGGTTCTGCTTGCATCTGTGGGTGTCCCGGTGGTTTCATCTTAATGTTGTCTTCCTCCAGTTCCTCAGCCAGTGCCTGGTAAGTTCTGTGAAAGGCCAGGCGAATAGCATGTGGTGTCTTCTTAAATTCTCTCCATGTTAGTACATGTTAGTTGTTACTTGGTTTTTGATAATATAGATGATCATGCTGCATCTGATGCTGTTTTCCAGGTTTCCTTAGAGAGAGAACGACAACACGACCAAACGCATGTTCAGAGCCAACTGGAAAAACTGGACCTTCTCGAGCAGGAGTATAACAAGCTGACGGCAATGCAGGCCCTCGCGGAAGTCAGTGGCTGTGATGAGTGCATAGAGCGGTATTTCTGTCAAAGGGATTTATTATATGAGATTGGATATTTATACGAAGAAAAGTTGCCTTACAGCAGAGTAAGGTGTAGGCATTTTTATATGGAGCAGTGTAAATTTGGAGAGAGTTTGTATTTTATACCCTCGAAACTCTTCTCTGAACATGCTGACAGCTGGGTAGCATGTTCTGCGTATTCCTAGGGCGAACAGCCCGCGGTGTACGTTGTCCTCTGGGCTAATTTTAGTTTGATTCGTTCACTTGGGAAGTATTTCATACCAGAGACTGAAGTCCAGGTTCAGTTTTGATGTCATTTTCCATACCTTCACACGCCGTGTGTTCCTTGGCCTAGATCTGCCATCATCCTTTTCTCCTGGCTCAGGCAGCATGTCCTGGCTGCAGCAAGCTCCGGCCTGTTGTCCAGGGCACCAGCAGGCCTAAGCTCACTGCACTGAAGCTTACAGCATGCTCGTGTTACGTTAAAATCCTGCAAATAGACACTAAGACAAATTTTTTAACTGTTACCACTAGAAAAAAATGCGCGAGTTGGAAGGCAAGCTCCGCGAGGAAGAGCGGGAGAGGAAGCGCATGCAGGCCACGGCGGCCCAGGTAGGCGCAGCCCGGGGAGGGGGCCGTCTCGCGCTGTGCCTCTTTCCCACAGAAGTGGATGATGAGATGTGGGCTTCTTGGGTTGTTTGTACTTTGGAATGGCCAAGGTAGAAGTTCTCAGTCGTAGCTTTCTAGTTGCAGACCGGCCTGGAAGCCAATAGGCTCATCTTTGAAGACAAGGCCACTCCGTGTGTCCACAGTGCAAGAAGAATTAAAAAAAAGAAGTCAAAGCCACCAGAAAAGGTACGGAAGCCACCAGCCGGGAGTCATGCTAGGGTCGCTGACACCTGCACCCGAGGCCGTGGGTGCAGCCCTGGGTGGGTGCGGCTCGCGGGTCTCAAGTTTCTCCACGGGAAGAGGGGACGGGTATTACCTCCTTCAGAGTTTTTATCGTGGCAGTGAGAGGGTGAGTAAGTTAAGGCAAGTAACGGCCTGGGAGTAACACTGTCTCTCTTTTCTCCTCAGCGATGTCCTCGGAGCCATCTTGCCGCACAGCCGCATTACAGGCTGTGCTTGGGTGACATGCCGTTTGTTGCTGGGAAGGTGAGCTGGCCGGTCCGGGGTGTTTATTACTTAGCTCTTTGAATTTGCCTTGAGTGCCTGTAAATGGTGGGGCCTGCTTTCTGCTCCCCTCGCCAGTGCAGCTGTAGTGATGTGAGGAGACCGAAGGGTGGAGCAGGCAGAGGGACTGGCTTGGAGAAGGGGTGGAGGAGAGGTAATGTGCACCTGCAGTGGTGGGTTTTTAGCGTCGATTCTATTGCCTTGTCTAGAGACAGGTTTTCTTGTAAATGGCCACATGCTGTGTGTCCTCAGTCCAGGCTGGCCCTCGCTTGCTTTTGCGAGGCCCTCTCACATGTGGGCTCGCGTCTCGTGTCCTGTCTGCGCTGAAATGCATAGCTTGGCCTGCTGAGGGAGTGTGGCCTGTTGTGGTTACATCAGCGCTTCGCTGACCACGCCGTTGGTGGTCCGTGGGTGCGTTTTCAGTGTCCAGCTGGCCGTCCCTCGAGAGCCTTGAGGCAATTTTTAGTTTGGTTTGTCTATGTTTGTTCTCTGAGGCCCACGGTGTAGGCTCAGTGACGTCTGAGCAGCTCCTAGACTTTCCACTGCTTTCTGACACGTGTAGACCTGTGAGGCACAGACTACCTATTGGAAAACATGATCTGGGTCTGGCAGCCCTCGGCCCCACATCAGGTCTCGCTGCGTCACTGACCATCTCTTTGGGCCATGCCTTTGTGTCTCCATGGAACCTCTGATTGGGTTGGAAACAGGCTCTTAGGGTCAAGTGACGGTGTCAGTCCTGCTGGCATCTGCTGCGAGCGCTCAGCACCTCAGCCCGTGCGGCTTCACTGCAGGCGCTTCACAGACAGCGTGCAGCACCCTCCTGTCTTCCTTGCAGACATCCCTGTGCCTTGACTGTGTTGGATTTTTCTTTTCTTTTTTTTGTGTTGGATTTTTCAAATGCTTTCCTTCATTGAACGATAGGGTCATTTGACTTTTTTTTTTTCCCCCGTTGTTAGGGATTGATTTTCAAATTGATTTTCAAATACTGATCCGGCTTTGCATTTCTGAAATCACTTCAACATGGCGGGCGCGTCTTTGTGCGTGTTGCTGCTGAACAGCGTGAGAAGAGCCTCTGGGATTAGCTTAGCTTAGCTCAGGGATTGCAGACCCGGCTGACCGGGGCCATCTGAGCACATGTGCAAGCCCACACTGAGTTTGGGGTGTGCCTGAGAATCTGCATTTTGAAAGCTGCCTAGATGGTGCCACCTAGCAGCTGTCTGCAGATTGGAATAGCACGTTGTGATTTCTAGCATTCAAAGCACAGTGTTGGAGAAGGCTTTTCTTCCTGACATGACCCATACAAATGACCCTCCTAATGGCCAGACAACTGACCACACAGTTCTTGGGACCGTGCTAAAGAGCGCGGTGGAAGCCGCTGCACAGAAGATGCCTCCCACGTGAAAATGGCTCATTCTAACCTCCCGGTTGGACGGGAGGTGGTCGTGGCGGGGCTGGATGATGCCTGGGCCTCATTGCTCTGTGCTGAGGGCTGTGGCCTAGCGTCAGAGAACCTCAAGTAGGAGGCCAGCGTGAGCAGTGTACCTTGCAGGAGGGTCACTTGCAGCCCTGGCTGTGGGGAGACCGACGAGGGTGTCACTGCTCTGGAAGCCAGCGGTCACGAGCAGGCGAGGGCGGACTCCATGGGGTTGGTAATTGGGAGATTATGTCACCAGGCTTTTGGGGGGTAGGGAAGAAAAAGAAAACAAACATACCACATGTGGCGTCTGCACGTTTTCAGTCCACCAGCCCCAGCCACGCCGTGGTGGCCAACGTCCAGCACGTCCTGCACCTGATGAAGCAGCACAGCAAAGCCCTGTGCAACGACCGCGTGGTCAGCAGCGTCCCCCTGGCCAGGCAAGCACCCTCGCGGAGCAGCAAGAACAAGAAGTCGGTGACGCCGCCTCCCTCCAGCAGCACCAGCGAGGAGCTGTCCGAGGTCTTGCAAACGCTGCAGGATGAATTTGGGCAAATGAGCTTGTGAGTGGCAGTTTTTGGCTTTTCACTGTATTTGAGTTTTCAGACCTTGACTTTATTCACCCTCTTCCCTTTGCTCAGCGAGCACTTGTTGAACAGTCTCTGTAGCAGCCACGGAGCAGGCTGTCAGGACAGACACAGCTGTTGTGTGTGAGCGCTCCCCTCCCTAGCCCTGTTAGATGCTTTGCTTTACTGTGAAGCCCGAGGTCTGTGTCCCACTTATATTTCCTTGTTCGGGTCCTTGCTGTTAATTTCCTTCAGCTGAACTCAACTTTTACAAGTCAGGATGTAAGCGTTTGAAGGACAAGACCCTTAGATTTTCCTTTCTACTTACGTAATTCTCTTGTGGGGAGGCAGAAATATAAATAATAGTTACTGGAAATTAAGAGCTCATCTTGCAGTGCTTCCATTCCTTAAAACTTACCATTCTTTAAGACTACCACTGATGGCTTGGAAATCTGCCGCTATGTTTAAGAAGCAGAGATATTTTTCATGCAGTGGTGCGTGGTGAGGGAGGTGCGCTGGGCCTGCCTGGGAACGCAGGGCCTGACCAGCCTGCACTGCTCTGTACGCAGCGATCACCAACAGCTTGCCAAGCTCATCCAGGAGTCCCCGACGGTGGAGCTGAAAGACAACTTAGAGTGTGAGCTGGAGGCGCTAGTGGGGCGGATGGAAGCAAAGGCCGGTCAAATAACTAAAGTTCGAAAATATCAAGCTCAGGTAACGGTTTTCTTTACTCGTTCTTATGGTTAAAAAACAAGAACAGAAAAACAATTTCTTTTCCCCAAATATAGTTGTGGATAAAGTAGACAGGGAGTTACAGGAGCTAGGTCTTGGCTGTAAATGCTGGTTCGGCTCATCGCTGAGAACTGGTGTTCAGCGGGTTAGGACAGGTGGCCCCAGACCAGCGACGCTGCACGTCGTATGCTGGATGTACCTACTAGTCCTGTGTTCATTTGAACAAAATTTTAACTTCCACGATGCATTTCAGTGGGTCTGAGTTTACCCAAGTCTGGTAAAAAGCATCTAGAAATTCCACATTCTAGAGGAATTCGGATATAATGTGGAAAATAACTGTAGTTTTGTTTAGGTTACTAATTAAATGAAGCGCCATTGTTCCTTCCGGATGCAGGGAAAGCAGTAGGAAGCAGGATGATTCGTGTGTTTAAGACTGACGGACGCCTGGGCTGGGTGGGGAAGGCCGTGGCTGAGACCCACCTGGTCTGGGACGGGGCCTGCCAGGCGCGCACTGGGACCGCGGGTGGACGAAAGGACCTACTCGAGCTAAGCTTCGGACATAGTGACGCGGGGCTACTTGCCGTGAGGCCTGCAGGAGGGGAGGCGACGTTTTGAAGGCCGGGACCACTGACTGGTGGAGAAGCCACAGGAGTAGAACAGGCCCATTGATGCCCACGACCCAGCCGTGCATGGTCAGCACAGGTGGCACGCGGCGCCATGTCCACTTTTCACGGAAGGTGTCTGGAGTGGGTGTTGGTTTCATTTGATAGATGAAGTCTCTGGGCTGAATCCCCAGGGAGCGAGGCGCAGTCTCAGAGAAACGGACTGTCCCAGGACACGGCAGCTCCGTTGTTGCTGAGCTGGTGCAAACCTGACTCTTGTCAGCGTCAGAACCTGCACCGTTAAGCTTAGAAGTGCTTAAAAAAAGAATACCAGGAAATTATTTCTGTAATTGTGATGGGCCAACTTGTCACATGGTTGCCCTTCCTCTCTCCTGGGTCACCACCCTGCCAGCAGCAGCCTGTTGTAGTCACCAGCTGAAGTGAAGTAGAGCCCCCACTGACTTAATCTAAAAAGAGTGACGTAGGAATAAAGTGAAGCTATAGGCCTGGAACTTTGTTTAAACCAGTGTTAATTCAACACATTTCCTAAGAGACTTCACCTACAGCAGCTTAGCATTATGCTTCAGTAAATAAGGATAAAAAGGGATTTTTGCACAGGTGGAGTTACATCGTGGCTGTGCTCTTCATTCCTTCGGGACGTTCTTCTTTGCCTGTTCAGACTTGTCTCTAGAATGTGTCTGTCCTCTCCACCTATTAAAATCCATCCTGTCCTTCATCTTAAGTCATTTATTTTGCCTTCACGAGTTCTCCCCAAAGCCCCCAGAGTCTCATTTGCCCGTGTGTGCCTCGGCAGCACGGCCATAGTCTGTGCTGATGGCCCGCGTGCATGTGTGGCTGGCCACCGGCGTGTCTGTGTCTCTTAAGTGCTGTTCAATGGCCACAGATATTTGAGGCCCTTAAGAAAATAAACCCAGGCTATATTATTTGTGTTTTAGTAGTACAAGTTCAGGGCACCAGCTGTCTTAAGAGAATGTGTTTTTCATTAACTTCTCTCTTTCCTGCCTTGGTCATGCCTGGGTAAAGCTGGAGAAACAGAAGGCAGAGAAGCAGAAGAAGGAATTGAAAAGCACCAAAAAGACTCTTGATGAAGAAGGAAACAGCAGCAGCCGGTCCTCTGGAATCACAGGGTCCACAAACAAGAAGGACGTCGCCAAACTGCGACCCGGAGAAAAAAGCAGGAAGAACCTCCAGTTGCTGAAGGAAATGCAAACCATCCAGAGTTCGCTGCAAAGCGACAGCGTGTGCTGGGATTACTAACTGGCACCAGGCTGTGAATTTCATCCAGATAACCTGTAACCTCAGTGAATCACATGTTGGCAATTTTCTCCCCAGGTCCCAGGCCCTCTCGTGTTGGAACTAATGGCGCAGGTGTCCAGGCCCGCACAGTTGCACGGCAGCCCCCGCCCGGCACGGCCCCGCGCGGCCAGGGCCAGGGCCAGGGGAGCTGTCAGGGAGAAGCTGCCACCTAGACTGTTTGCGTCCCGTGAATTTGCTGTTCTGGAATAGTGCACTTTGTAAACAGATGACCAGTTTTTTACTTGTGGGTGTGATTTTTTACAGTAGTTCTTTATCTAAATAAAATTAGGTTTTAATTCAGAAAATCGGAGGCTGTCCCATAGGCAGAGCTTGCTTGAAAAGTCTAGTTTTAAATTTCCCTGACAGGCAGGATTTGCCCTTCTCCCCTTTCCAGCACAACTGTCAGATACATTGTTGCAACTGCGGAGGAAGGTCTTCTGTATATAAGTATTTATAGCTATTTAAGGGGGTTATTTTGTTTCACTTTTTGACATCAATCAGCTATTAAGTGTACTTATATTGATTTTTAATCCACTGTTTTAGAGACCCAAGCACTCATTTCAAGTCAATTAATTGTAAAGATTAGAAAAGCGCTTTTAAAGGCTAAACAGATTGTTAATGAAGTAAATGGAATTCTGGAATGGAAGGGGAGGTGCTGTGACGCATATGCATTTGCTGTTTTTAAGTGACGCCTGTGTGTAATCATGCTGCCAGCCCAGGCCTTGCAGCTGTACTGTGAACGCGCAGGACCCCTCAGCGCGCCCTCGCTGGCGTGCAGTGCGAGTGTGCCACCGGCTGTACGCGTGCGGCCGGCACGCTCACGGAAGCTGTGATTGTGAGTAGATCAAGACATCAACTTTTTATAAATTGCCACTGAAGTCAATAAAGCAGATTTTTTTTAAGGAAATAATGGAATCTTGTTTACTAGCCTGTACTGGAGGCTCGAGGTGCGCGCTCTGAAGGTGCATCCTATATAGGGGAAGCTGCGGCCTCCACTTGGCATACGGTACACTTGCTTCTCATGCCTACAGAGGGATGCTAAGTCCAGCAAGACCAGAGTGCCTGGGGCATGTGAGATGCTCCCCGTGACACAGGAGGACAGGCGGACCTCCCCTGAGGGCGGCGTCATGTCTCCCGGAGTGAGGGGAGTCCTGGGGTTTCACACAGAACCCGCATGCGCGGTCTACTGCTATGCGTCCAGCTTCCTACTGGACCTTTTCCAGTTGGAGCTCTTCACGTAGGGTCCGCAGTTTGGGGTATTTGTGATTCTCCCGAAATTGTTAGTAAACTTGCTTGCACACAAATTTCTGGTGAGCAGGTGCATATCACCCCTGAATTCATAAGTGAACCCACAGACCCCATCGCTGCTCTCGTGATGTGACATTTCTTGTGCCGCAGCCACCACTTCAGTATTAAACTTGTGTCTGCCTGAGCATCAGGTAGTTAAGTTGTGTGACCTGCACTGCCCAGCAGGGGCTCCAGTCCTGGCCGGGACAAGAGTGGCAGCGAGGCGGTGAAAGACGCCCGCTTGGGCCTTGAGACCCTCAGGTAAGAGATGGGGGAGGCTCCCGCCTGCTGCTGCAGGACAGCTTGGTCTCCCGTGTCCTGACTCCACGGACTTGCCGTAAGCAAAGCGCCGTGCGGATGCCCCGCTGCGTGAGAAAGGCGCTGCGTCCAGGGAGGCGGGCGAGCGTAGCAGGGACGGCTTCCTGGAGGAGGTGGGGATGCCCAGACTCCAGAGGCCGGGGAGCAATGCAGCCCTTGTGAATGAGTGCAGGACAGCGAGAGGCAGGAGTCCCCAGCTCACGTGGGGAACAGCGGCTGAGCAGCTGGCGCTGGTGGCTCGGGATACGCAGATAGAGGCTGAGTTAGCTGGAACTTCTTTTAATGAGAGCCCAGGCTGGATAGCTCCGGCAGAGCGGGCGCGGCAGAGGAAGCCGAGCTCACGCCAGGATTGCTGGCTGTACCGAGGCCAGACGCACTCCGGCGTGCAGAGAGCTCTTTGGTAAATCCTATCAGTCTGGAAGTAAGAGTTTTCAAAAAGTAGTAAAATAGTTCCTGTAAAATCTGAGCATAGTACTCCTTCCCATAAACCCCTGATACAGACTTCAGTAAAATAGGGCAACCCTAGAAAACGCACAACCCTGCTGCAGCGCACCGGCTCCTGCGTCCAGACACAGAGGGACGCAGACACGCGGGGCTGGGACAGGTCGCGCTGCTTCGATCAGCGAGCGGAGGGGACGATCTGAAGGCTGTGGTCCCGGCCTCCCACGCGGCTGCCGCCGTCTCCCTCCCCCCCCATAAAGCGTCCTTGCAGGGCAGATGCCAATGAGTCTTAAATAAGCTCTTAAATAACAACAGAATAATGTCACCCAGCGCCACACCAAGAAGTCCTCCGGACTATAGGTGACCCCGAGGGGACCACTCGCCCCGGGGGAGGGGCAGCCGCCGGGTGAGCAGTACGGGGACCCTCGCCAGGGCCACCCCCGGCCCCCCGCCCCACCAGGAGGCGGCGTCTGTTTTCTCCCAGACACAAGACCTGTGAGCGTGTCCTCCTACAGCAAGGGATTTGGTCCTGCGGGATCCAGCCAGACACGAGTCACCGCCTCAGGGTGGCTCTTGCGTAGTGTCGTGGCCGCCAGCGCGTGGCTACAGTCCTGGCCTCGTGTCAGAGGTTTCAAATAAATAAAGTGACGGAACTGCTCTCGCGGACGGACCCTCCAGTCTGAAGACCTGGTGCCCACACAGCTGCCCCGACCCGCTCTGCGGAGCCGCCGCGGGGGCGCTCACACCACGGTCTGGACGGGCGCAGCACACGGCGCGGGTGGGCTGGCCCTCTCGGAGGACGAGGAGGAGCGGTTGGAGACCTCGCGCTGCAGCTCCTCCACCTTCTTCTGAAGCTCCGCTCGCTTGGCCAGCAGCTCCTTGTACCTGCTGTGAACTGGCTCCTGCAAGAGCGAAACACCACAGAGTGATTCTGCCCGTGCCACCCGACCCCCGACGCTGGGCCCGCAGGGGTCGCCGGCCCTCGACACGCTTGTCCAGCCGTGACGGGGCCGGCACCCGTGTGCTGCGGCTGCAGGGCCTGCTCCTGCACTGCTTTGCAGCGAGGGTTCCCACAGGACACCATGAAATTGGCACTTGCCTGAATACTGGCCAATACTCAAAGATTTCCTATTGATTTAGTTGCAGATTTTGGTGTTTCAAGCAATTTAGTCTTAAACATTTCCTAACGTATTTCAAAATGGACCGGAATTTTGTAAGACATTTGACATTTTTATAACTCTTTTCTCTAACCTGTCAAAACCTCTAGAAGTTACTCCAGTCAGACACATACTTTCACGGGGGAAGACAGACAACCAGATACTCCCTCTGTGGTGTTTTCTCTGCCATGCGGTCGAGAAAGCAGAGACACCTGCAGGGGACTGTCCCGCGCCCCCAAAGCCTACCTGGGGCTTCATGCGCGGGTTCCACCTCACGTAGTAGCCCACCCAGAGCTCCAGGTGGCGCATGCTGGCCACGGGGTACAGGACGTGGTGGGAGTAGCCCCCGTAGAGGGGGTTGGTGAAGTCCTCCAGCTGGCTGTTTATGTACGACCACAGTGACACTGTCCTTTTAGGAAGATTCTACGAAAGGAAGGTCGGGAGTCTACTCAGCCCGAGCCGCCCGTGGTTTAGATGAAAGGTGTGAAGGGGCACACTGCTCCGGACCACCTCCCTCTGGGGCGATGGCCCCGCTTAACAGCACAGCGGCGCTGAGGCCGGGCGGGTGGGCCTGCCCAGTGGGCTGGGGGCCACAGAAAGCCAAGTGTCGCCTCGGGCTGCCACATGAGCCTTGAAGACACTGCGTGAGAGCAGCAGGTGCACCACGAGGGACTCCAAAGGTGCATCTGGACACATGCATCTGCCAGACCATGGGGAGCATCGAGCAAGGGTGCAGGCCCCATGTGCTGAAATGAGCGGTCTCTGAGCAGAAACAAAGGGCACTGAGTCTGCGAGAGCCCCTGGCCCACGTGGGGTCTGCTCTGGCGCCCACGGGAGGTGCTGAGGTGGTGCCCATGGGGTCCTTGGTGTGGTTTCTTGTCCTCACCCTGGCAGGCTGTGCCCGCGGCAGCCCTTCAGCGAGCTTGCGTGTCTCTGGCACAGGCCAGAATTTAGGGACTCAGAACGGCTCGCCCGCGCGCCTGCTTCGATGGCTTTCCACGCTGCAGGGGCTTGGGCACACGGTGCTCCACCACCACAGCCCTCACTCACGCGTGCAGACACTACTCCCCGCCCACAAACGTACCCCACAGCAGCTGCCCCCCGCCCAGGGCGGCTGCTTCCACACAGACAGGCTTGGGTGTGCACGCGGCAGGGCTGTGTGACAGCAGATGCAGTAAGAAATGGCCCAAACATTCCCCTGGAAGCACCCGCGTGGCACCGAGCCCCACCAGATGCACTCTGGCAGGAGAAGGGCGCGGGGCTGCCAGGGCCTTACCTCTTTGCCCCGCTGCTGCTCACTGTTGCAGAGGAACGTGCCGAACAGGCAGCTGTACAGGTGGTCCAGGATGGTGATGAGGAAGTACTCGTTGAACTCGAAGGCAGTGGGAAACTGCGAGAGGCCGCAGGCGCACGGCGTCAGCCCGGCTCCAGACACCCCGCGGCCGCTGTGGCGGCCCCACAGCCAGGCGGCCCTGCCGTTGCGGCTGTGCCTGCCTCGCTTTCTGGACACCGTCCTGCTGTCTGGGCTCCAGCCAACGCGCAGCCAACGCGCAGGCTTTTGAGAACTGCACCATTTTCAGGACACTGACCCCTGGTGCCTCATCAGCATGACCCCACGACACACGGTGCTTTCCAGCCACCCTGCGTCTCCCCGACTGCCCAGGTCTACCTAGTATTTCAAAGCCAGCTTGTCAGAGAGCTGGCAGATGACCCAAAGTCCCTCTCCGGGCTGAGCAGAAAGTACCGAATTGCCTGCCCTGCCGCAGCCTCCACCCACAGAGACGTCCACTCAGACCCATGCCCGAGTTGTACTTGGCATGAGCTGGTCTGTCCTGTCCTGTGGCCCCTGCAGCGCAGCCAGGAGCAGGGGGCTGCCGCCATCCCCCTGGGGCGGGGCCAGCGCCTCCCACTGATGCTAAGGGCCGCACGGTGGGGCACAGACAGCTCAGACGCGGGACAGTGAACAGCACCGCTGCACGAGAGCCTCGCAGGAGCCTCCTCAGCACCCGCACCTCCCCGCGCCCGGAGCCGCGCCCGTTACCTGCCGGGTCATCTGCCACACGCAGTCCACGAACTGCAGGAAGACCGGGGACCTGTCGGCGTCCGCGTGGTTCTTGTCTCCGTGGCCGAGTCTCTGCGCAGAGGGTGAGGAGGGTGTGAGCCTCAGGGACCTTTTTGGTTTTTAATGGAATTGACTTTTCCTGCAAATACCCGCTCAATAGCTTTAAGAATCCAGAAAATCTGTGGATCGGCACTGCCGAGGAGGAAGTCGCCCCTAATTGGACAAGCTGGGGGCCACGTCCTGGCACGAGGGCTGGTACCCAGGCCTCGGTCACAGGGTAATGAACCATGCCTGTGTGGGTGAAATGGGGGCGCAAGCCACCCCCTTAGGGGGCCCTGGGGAGACCCTGCAGTGCGCGCCTGGACTCGGCCCACCTTCCATGCCCAGGCTGAGCCAGAGCCAACTGCCTCACGCAGGCCGAGGCCTCCCCAGCAGCTCTGTGCGCACGCCCAGCTGCGGGCTGTAGGCAGGACAGCACAATCTCTGCCTGTTCCCGACTCTCCAGTTATTTTTTCGCTGCTACCTTGGGTCCAGCTTGATCTCTGTAGACCCTGTCCTGAGAGCACCAGTTTGCAGGGCTACTTCAGATTACTGAGGACCAAGCCTTCTCAGCTCTATTGAAACCCAGCAGTGTCTTGGGCCCACACCAGCCCCCTGACCCAAGTGGTGCCACCATGGGAACCACGCACCCGGGCCTGGGCAGCCCTCCCAGCTGCAGTGTTGCAGGGGCCGTGGGCTCATGAGCTGCCCATCCCTTTGGTAAAGGATCTCCTCAACAAGGGCAGCTCAGGACCCCACACCTGGCTGGCTCTCGTGCCCCGTATGTGAGACACAGAGCCCAGGGCCTACGCACCAGCTGGAACCGATGCCCGAAGCTCAGCCACTCCTTCTCCACCAGGACCTGGAAGCCCCGGACGGTCCGGTAGTGGCCGTCCAGCATGAGCATGGCCAGGGCGGTGAGCTGTGCCGTGCGGTCCCAGCCGTCGCTGCAGTGCACCACTGCTGAGGCCTTGCCGGCCTCTACCCGGTCGGCGATCCTGAGCGCCCCTGCGAGGATCAGCTGTGGACAAGAGCGAGGGGACACTTCAGCCGAGGAAGGCTCCCTTCCTGGGGCTTCCTAACAGCTCTGCGGGGGGCGAGGAATCACATCTGCCCTGTCCTGAAGAGGACTTCTGGTCAGTGGTAGGTCAGGTACAGGCAGCCAAAGCGCGTCAGTGCAGACCCGTCAGCAAGCACGACGGCCACCGAGGAGACGAGCTCTGGCTCTGAACACAGCAGCAGCACGAGGGGGAGAGGGGACCCCAGCAGCAGCTCGTGTGTCCAGCCTCGAACACGGGCAGTGCTGTCACCCAGGAGGCCCTGGGGCACAGCCAGGCTGGGAGGCTCCACTCCACAAGCGGGCCAAGGTCCTGGGCCTCACGCCACAGGGTCTCCTCTGTGAGCACGACAGCAAGTGTGTGGGCCCCCAGCCCTCAACCAGGGTCTCAGGAATGTCCGCTGCTGAATCAAGTGCGTGCAGGTGCACAGGCTCAGGGCAGGTGGCGAGACCTGCCAGCCGCATCCCCAGAGCGGGCGCGGCCTGCTAACCAGACCAGCGGGCCCCAGCCCTGAGCTGGAGATGGTGAGAGGCCCTGCGGGCGGAGGACGGGGGAGTCTCCTCCGGGGAGGCAGCCCGGGCACAGGCAGCTCTTCCAGACCTTGCTAAGGAAACTGTTCTGTGAAGCGGCTTTGGGGAGAGACTTGACCTGCTAGTGAAATGACCTGGAGTTTTCCAGAAGCAAATCCTGGAGTTTACGTTTGTTTTAAATCAAGTCATAAAGTTTTCATTTACATGTCATACTATTTAACAAATGGGTCACGTGAACATGACCCGTGAGGTCACGGCTTCCTTCAAGTCTCTCAGCTTCTGGAAGAGAAACAATAAAGGAAGAATCCAATTGTGTTTCTCAGTGGTCTGTGGGCCTCTTCAGTGTATGAACTTTGGAGATTTTAATGTATACGAGTCTTGAAAAAAATTACATTTCCTATTAAAATTAACACTCCCCATGCTAACAACACTGCTGCCACATAGCGTCGCCGCGATGGCGTGTCACCGCACTGACGGCCTCCACGACAGCGCACACCGCCTCCAGGCTGGGTTCTGGCGAGTGGCGCTGCTGACGTCCGGGCCCTACCTGAGAGGCGTCACCGCATGGACGAGCAGCAGCTGGGCGCTCCCGACCGGTGACTGTCAGGCTCCCCCGCCACCTTCAAACCTCACCCACAAACGGCTTCCGCATTCGACTAACTTTCTTTCCTTCCCATGCCCAGTTTTGTTTTTTTTTTTAAGATTTATTTATTTATGCATACAAGAGCTGGGGTACAGTCCAGAAGTATAGAGTGAGAGGACTCCCCAGAGACAGAGTAGGGAGCAGAACAGGCGGATCCACTGAAATCCACTGCTGAGGGGAGCAGCGGGGAGCCGGGAGAGGTCTGCTGCGCCCTGAGGGCAGCTCCCTGGCCGGGGATGGACTCAGGCCGCAGAGGCTGCCGACACCTTCACAGCGCTGAGACTGGCCCCTGCACCCCAGGGGTGGCCCTCCTGCCCAGTGTTTACACCATGAGCCCTGCACGCAGTGTTTTCTGGGCGCCTGTCAGTGACCCCAACTGTGCCGCCCTCTCTCCTTGAGGGGACGACAAGGAACCAGCGAGACGTGAGGAAGCTGCGTGAGGCGTGGGGGCGCCTGCGTAAGTGGGAAGGGAAATGACCGGCTCCGGGAAGCAGATGTGACCCGGGAGACGTGGGATGTAAATGGCGGGGCAGGGAGGGGGAGAGGCAGCACCGCAGGACTCGGGGCCCAGGACCGGACCTGCCCATGCAGCCGCGAGGCCCCAGCGCACCCACCTTGATGTGCTCCAGCCAGTGGGTGGACTCCAGGTTGGACAGCCAGCGGGCCTCCTCGATGCTGGGGTACACGATCTCCTTGAGCTTCCGCAGTGACTCCCGCATGACGTGGATGTTGTGGATGTCCAGGAAGACCAGCTCCGTGTTCTGATAGGCGTCTTCGCTTTCATAGCCTCCACCCTTGGCCTGGGAAGGCAGTTGCAGGGGACCATGCCCGTGAGTGCACGCGCTGTCGGGGCATGAGCCTCGCGGGCGAGGCTGGCCATGGTGGAGGGGCAGCGGGCGGCCCAGGATAGCGCGGGCCATGCCAGCCTTAGACTCGCCCATGTGAAGGCACAACTACGAGGCGCAGGCCGGGCCAGACTCGCGGGGGAGCGCTCCCTCTGCAGGACAGGCATGCTGGGAGCTGGGGGCCACGCAATCTCCGTCCCCGCAAGGCGGGGCAAGGCACAGACACACGGCTGACCAGGCTCCCCGAGGGAAGCGGCAAATAGAGCAGGACTTTTAAAACACCCCAACTTGACACTGTGCTGTGGTGACTACCACGGAGGCAGCCACCTTCACAGCGACCTCTGCGCCGGAAGGATATTCCCACCAGCTGTGTTTAAAATGCTCAGCGCGTCAACACCCAGTTTTGGGAAAGTGCTGCAACGAGTGATAAGCTGCACTTGGGGGTCCCCCTAAATATTTTTCAGGGCTCTCTTATGAAAAGGACACAATGTGAAGAAGCAGAAGACCAGCATAAAGCCACCGTAACATAAACGCACAGGGGAAAACATCAAAGTATTCGTGATCAGCAACCTTGGTTTCACTTCTCTTCACGCCTTCTAACTTGTTTGTCGTGCGTGTGTATTGCCCGCCATGCAGTACCAGCAACATGCCCCAAGAAACACAACACAGCAGCCTTGGAAAAGGAACACCGTTCCATCGTAAAGTACACGTGGGAATGATCTCAAAAGACAGGGCGGCACCTTCCACCCTGCCCTTCCCCGCCCCCAGACACCCCTGCTGGCGGGAGGGGCCGGGGGGGGGGGGGGACAGGAGCCCCGCTGTTAAAGCCCCGGCAGCTGTGGGCGCCACACGCCATCTCGCTTGCCGATGCCCCAAGTGTGCGCTGCCCGTGCCTGAGGCTGCCGAGCCCCGTCCCCGCCTGGAGGGGACAGTGACAGCCTCCCCGGACACCTGAACAGCCCAGGCCCTGGGACACGGACGGGGTGGGAGAGCTGGGGGAGGCAGGCCGTCTCCCCACCGCTCCACGGAAGGGGTGGCCACGCCAGCCCCGTCACGACGGCGCAGCGCCTGGAAGCAGGTCGCCCGAACCTCCAGCGACACCGGTGCTGGGCTCCGACGCCCACAGTCCCGGACAGGCGTCCGCTGGGCAGACAACTGAGGGTCCCCAAGGGGCACTCGCGCCTGACCCTCCCTGGCAGCGGGCCCAGGGTTAGTGCTGGTTTCAGTTTCAGGATTTGAGTCTTTTAAGCTATTTTTCTTCGTCTGCGTCTGCTCACGTGCTGGCTCCTCTAGAGCACACGCCCCATTCACCGGGGTTTAAAGTCACGCTTTAAAGCGACCGCGCGACTCCTCCGCTTCCTGCGAGGAGCGCCGGCTGTCCCGGGACTGTCTCCAGGGCAGGGGCATGGACTCTACCACGGAAACCAGTGCCCGCCCGGCGCCCGCCCGTATCCCGGGGCCCCTGATCAGGGAGAGGCGAGAGGCAGCGTCCCCCTCACCCACGCCAGCTGGACCCGCTCAGACATGGGGCGGCGGAGGGAGCCCCATGGCCCTGCACTGCAGCTGACCGGGCTACGCACCGTCCTGACCCGCTGACTCTGCCCCACGACGACCCTGCGAGCGGCTGTCCTCACTTCACAGATGCGCGAACGGAGGCCCCCGGCGCGGGGAGGCCGGCCCCCGTCCTGAGCCACCCCCCTCCTGCCTAGCCCGGGGCCCTGCTGTGGGCCTCGCCGCCTGAGAGGCGCCCACCTTGTTGGCAACGGCATTCACGCTCGGCCGGGCGTCGAAGATGAAGATCTTGTGTGACTGGGCGTTGGAGTCCATGATGGCCTGCAGGTACTTCTCGTCCTCCTTGCTGCGCTTCCCGCTCACCCCCACCAGAGGCTGGCTGCATCGCGTGATGGTGGCCTGGCTCTCGGGGTGGATCCACGACAGCACCTTTGGGGGGAAGCCACACACTGGTCGCACGCCAGGCCCGGGCCACGGCCACGGGGTGGGAGGGCGCAGGGCAGGGAGTCAGGTCTTCCTTCCGGTGGCCTGGACACATGAGGAGCTCAGCCCGCCCAGCAGACAGCGATTCCCGAGTCACAGGGCTGGCAAGCGTGGCCTGGCCTCCAGAAGACACCAAGGGGGCACAGGAAACCCCGCTTCTGAAGTCCACAACCTGTCACCACGCTGACAAGTCCTCAGGCTCGTGACGTTTGCACCTAGCACTGAGCGCATCTCCCCAGGATGCAGGAGGGAATTCGGCCTGAACCTCTCTCTTTGGAGGGTTTGCAGGGAAAGAACATCCATGCCGTGACTGACTGAGAGTGCAGGACAAGCAGACAGGGGAAATGCACCCACTCTGCCTTGCAGCACCACCCAGGAGCCCCTCCACGCCCACCCTCCCGAGGCCGGCTGTGCCCCCACCCACCCCGCTGAGACTCAGCACTGTGCAGACACAGGCACACCTGCAACGCCCCTGCAGGCCGCACTCACCGGGATGCGGCCCCGGGACCGGAACGCGGCCACCCTCCGGAGCTCCTCATCCGGGATGTTGGCGGGCACAACCAGGAGGGCAGGGTATGTGTCACAGAGCTCATAGCGCTCGTTGATCCTGGTGATTCTCCAGCTTTCGTTTGGAATCCCCTAGACCAGATAGATGCAAGACCAGCTGTCACCTGCCCAGGACACTGACAGGACACCAGGACAGAGGCCCGCGTCCCCTGGGCCGCACGCCTGGGTGGCTGGAGGAGGTGCCACTGCCGTGGAGACTGGCCCTGGCGCCAGATGCGCTCATAGGGGCCAAGGCCCCGCTGTTCGCAGCCAGCCTGATGGGGGCCGGGCCCGCGCGGCGCAGCAGGGAGGGCAGGATGGGGGCTGCGCCTGCTCCCACTGGCAGAGAGCCTCGCCTTGCCAGGCGGCTCCGGGGCGGCAGTTCATTCACCTGCACGACACATTTCCCAGGCCAGGCACCAGGTGTCCACCAGAGCCCAGCTGTGTCCCCACCCCCACCCGAAAGGGGGTCTCCACGCCCCTGCGCAGCACTAGGGAGGGTCAGTGACCGAGCGCCTCTGAGAAGAGCAAAGGAGAGGCTGACAGCACGGTCCCCAACACACCGAGCGCTGGGCCTTCAACACCTGCCCTCTTCAAGACCAGGCCTGCTGCAGGGCAGGCCCCAGAGGCCTGCAGGAGCGAGCGCTGCAGAGCTAAGGACACGACCATGGGACAGACGGCACCTGGCAGGCCCAAGAGACGGAGAAACCGACTCGTAACACACGCTCATGGAACACCCACTGTGTGCAGTCAGGAGGCTAGCAGCTTCTCTGCACAGGCCGCACACACACACACACTCACACGTAGGCACACATTTTACTGCATCCAGGTGTTGTTAACTTCATCTTACGGGCGAGCCGCCCAGCCAAGGGAGTGAGCAGTGTCGTCCGCGGACACCGCGGACCTGCCCGTCCCCAGAGCCACGGCATCTCAGAAACGCCTCCCAGCTCATGGAGTGGCCACAGGCACGTGACCTCGCAGAGGGTGGCGCACTCGCTCCCCCATTGGGGCTTCTCCTGCCGCTGCCAAACATACTTGCAGCGTGTACAAGGCGCCTCTCTGCTTAGGCTGACGCGCAGACAACCCTGCGAGCAGGCCCTCGCCGCCCCCAACTCTGAGCAGCCGCAGCCACGCCCGGGGCCAGGCGAGGCCCAGAGCTGAGCTGGGAACTCAGCCTTGGAGACGTCCGGCCCACGCTGCGGTACGGGTGCAGCGCTGTGGGCACACCAGGCACGCGCGGCGAGTGGTGTGCTGCGTGAGCCGGGCACCGCACCGCTAGCTCCAGGAGGGCAGCCTGTGTGGGCTGGGAGCTGGGAGCCCGAGTGCAGCCCACGGCAGGCTCTGGTCACAAAATGTCCCTGACCTAATCAGAGCCCCAAATACTCTGACGTTCAGCGACCACCCATGCACTCCCGCGTCCTCGGCCCCGCTGAGTCCCGCTCCAGCGCGGGCTGGAGACGGGGTCAGGCAGCGGAGACTCCCAGGCAGCTCGGGGTCAAGGCCGACCCAGCCTGGACACGACAGGCTTCCATCAGTGCGCGCACCCCCCGCCTCCCCGCTGGCCGGGACACCAAGGCCTGCCCCTGGGATGGGGGAGGCACCCGAGCTCTGCAGACGCCCGCCCGGCCGACGGGCAGTGCACCCCAGACAGCGGCTGCGGGGACTGGCTGCTGCCACCGCGATTGCTGCTGCAACTCAACAGTGATGACGCGGGGAGACGAAGTCAGGATTAATCCTCATACAAACAACAAAAACAGAAGGCACGGAACTGTACAGCGTGATCCATGTCCACCTACGGGGCTGTGGTGGAATGAAAAGGAGATTAAACCCGAAAGGACCGGCGCATACCTGCCGCCTGTACTCCAGGAGAGGGTCGTACAGCTTCCACCCGTTTTCAGGGAATTCTTCCTTGTACTCAAAAGCAAAAAGCGGCTGCAAGAAAGGACACAGTTAATGGTACACGGCCTCGCAGGAGGTAATGAGTCAGGTGTCCAAAGTTTTCATTTGCCTATTTGCAAAAATCTTTTGTGCCCTTTTTTATACTTTTGTTTGAAAATTTTGAAAACTGTCTTTTCATATTTTTCAAACATAAAAAAAATCACAAAGATCCACCGCCAACATTCGTCAAATGCTAACGTATTAGCATATTTCTTTCACGTGTGTTTGGAAGCTATTTAAGCTTTACTTCTAAATAATGAATGATGTGACAGAAAAAAGACATCTCTGATACAAGCGACCAACCTGACAGCTACATGACTGACAGGCGAGCAGCCTGACGTGGAGTCCACATTTCCTAAAACACGCTGAGTAAGCTTTACTGGGGGAACGCGACCAGTGTCACCCAGACAAAACTTTTTTCATCTTTAAAAAAAAAAAGGGATTTAAAAAAAAAATTTATTTATTTATATAAGAACCAGGCCAGAGGCATGGGAGGGCAAGAGGATTCCCCAGAGACAGAGCGGGGAGCAGAACAGGCAGACTGATGAAATATACTGCTGAGGGGAGCAGCGGGCGAGACAGGAGAGGTCTGCTGCGACATATGGATTGTTCCCTGGCCGGCTGGGAATCAAACCGGCGCTGCAGAGGCCACGCTCAACCCGCTGCACCACCAGGGAGGCCCTGAAGGTTTATCATCTTACAGGCAGAAAACGGAGCCGGAGCGGCGAACCAGCCCCGACTTACTCTCTGCAAGCGACGTCCGAACATCCACGGCTGAGCTGCTCCTGTCTCAGATCTAAAATGGGAAGAGCCACCTTCCCTCATTGGGGCAGGCCTGGAGCGGGCGCCTGGGACAGGTGGCCACAGCCCCAGCGGTGGGGCAGAAACTCGCCAGGCCTGGGAGCTGCCCTCCCGAAGGTGCTGTTCTTTTTGTCTTACTTGATCTGAGAAGGGAACAGGTTTTACATTCCACTTTCTGTAGGTGGTGAAGTTAACACATTTAAACACAGAGACAATCCCTTTGCTGTCAAGCAGGGGCAGACGACGCATGGGCGCCAAAGCTGCTGCCCTTAATCCTCAGTCCCCAGGAGTGCAGGGAGTTCAGGTCTCGCGAAGAGGGCAGACGCTCTGCTCGAGGCAACATGGCCCACAGAACACATTTATTTACTGTAATTATTACACAGATGTTTCAAAGATAAAACCATCTTACCAGGTTGTTTGAGACCGGAAATGCATACTTCATTAGATTCTCAAAAATGGATCTTCTTGTCCGCCCCTCAGGTTTATGAGCAAACCGTAAATTCCGAATATCCTAGAAAAGATTAAGGTCCATCTGTCTCTGCTCGTTCACTTTTATTTACCGAACAAGTTAAAGAACGTCCAGTGTCTCGTGCCGTGCCAAGGCCGTGGGTGTGGGGCAATCAACCAGGCCGGCCTCGGAGAACACAGCAGCCCAGAGCACTGACGCCCCTGCCCGGGCCAGCCCCACTTGTGCCCCCCCAGACACCTGCTCTCCCTGCAAGGCCCTGGCCCGAGTCTCCCTCTGCAAATCCCGGGCAGCGGCTGCACTTCAGCCTCATCCTCCTTCCTGTTGGGTCACCCCCATGCACTCTCCCCACAGGACGCAGGTCCATGCAGCCTGCTCTGTGGGGCTTCCTTGGCCCGCCAAAGCGCTCCCTGGGTGCTGTCTGCAGCACCCCCGTGCCCCCAGCCTGGCTATGCCTCCAGCTGGGCCTGCGCTGTCAGCAGAACAGCACTGAACAAACCGGGGGTTCAGAACCATTTCAATGCCGTCCATGCTGCAGACCCCACAGCCCCGTGTCACGTCCCTCTGGAGTCCTGACGCGTGCGCTCCCACACCGCGGCCGGCCCCGCCTGCTAAGTACAGGCTCCTAGTCCACGGAGTGGCACTGGCCGAGGCCTCATGGCTGGGCCCTCAGACGAGTGTCTCTGTGACCTGACAGCCAGACTGCACCAGCCTGAGTTTCATGTGCAAGTCCGTGGGCTCAAGGAATGAGAAGAGAGGAGGCGACAGTCTGCCTCCCACCCGTCACAAGAAAATGTGGTGAGCAGACCAGTGCCCTGCCCTCAGCTGCCCCGGGCAGTGCCGCGGTCCCAGCCATGACCGGACACGGGCCAGCCCCACACCTCACAGGGCTCCGTGAGGCTTGGAGCGGGCAGTGGGGAGCGTGACAGGTCCCTGCGTGCCGGCCCCGCCACCAGAGGACAGCCGAGGCACGACAGCAAGCCGGGCGCTGGCTCCCGGCATCCCCCCACCGGGGCTGTGCTCCGAGGCGGCGACGGGCGGGTGGTGTGTGGAGCGGCCCGCGGCAGCCTGGCGCACCTTGCACACCGTCTCCAGCCCGTAGGAGTTTTCGCCACGACTGGAAGCGCCGCCGATCTTCTCCACCCGGCTGATCACACCGAGGGACGCATCTAGGACAAACGGGGGGTCCTGCAGGAAGAAGAAAAGAGGGTGAAATGCCGCAGTGGCTACTGGCAGCGCAGCTAAGACCGTGCAGGCCGTGAGGCCGGCTTACCCGCTCCATGCTCTTGAAGTACAGCCTGTAGTTGGTGACGGTCAGAGTCCCGCGCACGGCGCCGGTGAAGGGGCAGATGTACGTGACGTCCTTGGCTGGAAAGGCAGAGGCCACAGGTCACGTGACGTCCCGGGCTGACTCCAGCGTCCACGACGCTCAAAAAGCACAAAACCAGCGACTCAGGAGTGTGACCTCGGCTTCCACCCAAGCAGCTGTCTGGGGGAGGGCCGTGGGGCGAGGGGGAAGGGCAGGAGAGGGACCCCACAACGAGAGTAGATCAGCAGGGAGGCGGCCAGGGGGAGGGTGGGGGTGCTGGCGACGGGCTCCGCAACACACTCGCCTGCCCTGAGGATGTTTACGGGGAAGGGAAACGGCCTTGTCAGGAAACGAGCAGGGTGACGAGCGCGCGTCCCACTCCCAACCCAGCACCGAGGGTGCGCGCTGTGGAGTAAGAGCCACAAGCACCGCTTCACGTAACGGTAGATGACTGGGAACGGGGTTCTGCCTTCAAGGTACGCGTTCCCAGAAGTCGGGGCGCCAGGCCCACAGCAGCTCGCGTGGCAGAGCTCAGCCTGCACGGAGCAAGGTTTTACGCTAAAATAGTCACGGGGCCTCTCGGTCACCCCGCCGCACGTCAGCGGAACCGGCAGGCAGGCGTCATTTGGAGCAACACATTTTTCAGAACCTTTCAAGGGGCTTCCGGGGCAACTCGGGAGAGGAAGCATGTCTGCGCGGGCCCGGGCTGCTCTGGGAGATGAGCCGGACTGCTAGGAAACGCAGACTCTCCAGACGGCCCTGCTGGGAAGGCCAAGGGCGCGCGACATGTTCTAGACCATCGTCTGCGAAGCACGTCGCGTGGGCGGGAAGCCCGTTCGCCGTGCACATGCCCGAGCCTGCCCTCTCGCATTTCTCGCCCTGGTGAATTTTCACCTGAGCTAGGAAAGCTTTCTTCAGTAGAAAGCCACTCTGGATTCCTTCCGGAGCCAGTTCTCTGCTCCCAGCACCCCGGCCGTCTGGCTCTACACCCCGCCGCGCCCGAGCAGGCTGACACGCGGGCCGCCTCTGAGCCGTGACAGCCCGGGCAGTGCCTGCGCGCCGGTGACTGCGCATGAACACCCGGCAGGGAGGGGCTCGTGGAAATTGAGTGGAAAAGACAAACGGCAGAAAGTCTCGGCTATGCATCCTCTGGCTGTGGGACCCTACTCTAACTCAGAAGACGGCCGTCTGGTCTGAGCCCCCCACTCCTGCCCACTGAGTGGGGAGCTGGTGTCGACATGGACTGAGCGAGAAATGCAAGAGGAGTGGGGGCCCAGGGCGGGTGAGCTCTGGAGAGGGGGGTCTGGGGCGTCCAGGGGTATGTGCCTGGACGCCGGGACTGGGGCAGGGGTCAGGTGGCAGGTCCAGCCCGGAAATGCACATGCAGTGCTAGAAATATGGTGGGGGGGCAATCCAGGGAATGCGGTCAGCCAGAAAGAACAGAGGCAGGAAGGGGTCCAGGATGAACCCTTAAGGGAGCAGGGCCAGCGCAAGGGAGGGAGGGGCAGCCCCGGAGCCGTGCTCCTCACGAGCACGAGGAGATGAGGGCGTCGTGTAGCAGCGGCCGCTCAGTGTCACCACCGTGCGGAGCCCGCCCGGCCCAGGGAGCACTGCGCGGGCCAGACCGGTGCGGAGCGGGAGGCTGGGCAGGGGACAGACAGGCGAGGGGGCAAGTCAACCGAGGCGGGGCAAGCAGAGAGCCACGCCACGCGCCAGGACTCAGCAGCCGTAGCGGGGCCCACAGGGCCTGACCGCCCGGGCCGCCTGACCCTACACCAGGCGCCGTGGCCTGCATGTCTGAGAAAAATCAAGCTTTTGCTAAACACTTTCGTAAAATTAAAATGGATAATGAAATGTAGCGCTTGCTGTGGCTAGGAAGCCCTTCGGTGTGTTCTCCGCACGCCCTCCTGTGCTCCCGAGTCCGGCACCTGCAGGGCACCCCCAGCTCAGGCACAGAGGGCGTGAGGACGGCGGACCAGAAGCCAGAGCAGCCTAAATGCCTGTTTCCGGCTCCGCAGAGCAGGCCCTGGTGCCCCCGGCTGGCTGTGCGACGCGGGTGAAATTCTTCCACCCCAAAACCGACCCGAGGTTACTTAAAAGAGGGAAAAGTAAAGAAAACGAGAGAATGTGCTTTAAGAAACATTACTTATGAAAATAATAACTCAATTTTTTTTATCCTGACACCCAATCACGTCCTCTAGAAAGAGCCTCTGCTCTCAAAGGCAGCAGAGCAGCATGAAGCAGCAGGATCCAATTCCATCTGCAGGCCCAGCGTGCGAGCCCTGGGGTGCAGGCGCAGAGCTGGGCGCGGGAACACGGCAGGGGTGGGGGGTGCGGAGAGTGACTGGACGCCAAGCGGAGGGGCGTGTGCAGGGAGGACAGCAGCTGAACCAAGCACATCACGGACCCATGTCTTTAATGTTCTCCCCGGGAAGCAGCGGCGGCTCCTCCATCTCGGCCAGCTTGTTGGACTCCCGCAGCACCTGCGGGGGGGGAGGGGGGAGCCGCTGTCATTCGCGGTGAATCTCTCTCTTTCTCCACCCCCCCACCACTCGGACACGTTCCACAGACCCTGCCCCCGTGACGTCAGGGCTGTGTCACATGCGCCTCAGGCCGCAGTGCCGCGTGCAGGGTGGGGCTGCCTGGCTGCGGGGTGTGTCCCATGCTCCACAGCTGCGTGAGGAACCCCTCACACGTGTTCTCGCAGGGGCAGGAGCCTCCTCGTGGGGAGAGAGGCCAGAAGCAGACACCTTGCTCGAAACCACACTGCCGAGTGCCGGAGCTGGGACGCAAGTGACAGCCGTAGCTTCTCCGTGACGCAGCCCCATGGACGCAGCGTGTGACCCAGCAGACCGCCCCACTCGAGCCGGAGCCCTTCTTCCAGGACAGGCCACAGCTGGCAGCGGTCTGAAGGGTCCCACCACCGGCAGGGACCCAACAACAGAGGCTGAGCATCAGGAGGAGCGCCTGAGGGCAGGCCCGACAGGTGGAGAGGCCTGGACAGGCCCGCACCCCCAGGGGGCCCACCCTCCAGGCTCCCAGAAGGAAGCCCCCTTGCTCGGAACCCTCCTCACACCGCCGACGCCAGACGCACGGGTTTGCCCATGTCCAGGCACTCTGGCGGGCAGCGACCGGGCGTCTGCAAGCCGGTGACGACACGAAGAGTCTGCTCTTTGGTGGTGTTTTTAGGTTCTTTTAATTTTATAACTTTCCCCATAAAGTTCTAGCATATTTTTTATTAGTCTTACTCCTAAGGAATAGAGTTTTGTTGCCTGTGTACAAAGAATCTTTCTAATATCACACTGTCTCGACAGTTTTGCTAAGGTTTGGAAACATGATTATTTAAGTCCCCGCATACCCAGCAGCAGCGCTGCGAGCTGGCACACGGGTTGGCCTAGAGCCTGGCTAGACAACCACCTGGAAACAATGAAGATTCAGCTGCTCCCACTCATTTCCTGTGTCAATTTTTTCTTCCCGGCTGGACCCTGTGTGGGAGCTGACAGGGCACGGGGTCGCCACCCGGGGCCCGGCGCGGCCTCCGGGCAAGTGCAGACACGCGGTTCCGATGGACAGCCTGGTCCGGTTCAAGCTTTTCTCTTCTACCCGCAGCAGCGCACAGGAGGGTGCGGCCGTGGAGCGGGTGATAAACACGAGGGGGCCGCGCTCCCCCCTTTGCTCTGGGACGCAGGCTGGGCGGGCCCCACTCACTGCCAGCAGCACCTGCTCTCCCGCGGGGCCTCTTTCCAGGCCTGGTCAGTATGACTCCAGGCCACACGCCAAGGGATAACCCAATTATCCTGGGCTTTGGGTCACTCAAACAATGTATGAATCGTGACACAAATTTTGAGGGGATAACCGTGTTTGCCTGATGTGTGTCTATGAACTATTTCAGGATAAGCGCACCTGGTTAAGAACAAAGTCAAACAGGTTCATGTGCAATCTGCTCATGCAGTAAGTACAGAGATGCGGTCCACACACCCAGGGACCAAGCAGGCCTGCCGGGACAAAGATCGGAAACACAGAATGAAACTCCAGCTCCCTCTCTGACGATGGGCTGCAGACAGGGTGGCTGCGCCCGGCACCGGCTCCCCGAGGGAAGAAGTGCCAGCAGCTTCTAGCTTCCATGTGCCCTCAGCTGCCACCCGCAGGGCGCGCCAAAGCCCCACGCTACACAGATATCACCTCACAGCAGCTGTGCGTGTAACTTTTCAAGTCACTGTTGCCTGGGAACCAGCAACAACAAATGCTGGCGAGGATGTGGAGAAAAAGGAACTCTCCTGCACTGCTGCTGGGCGTGCACACCGGGCCAGCCACTGCGGAGAGCTGTCTGGAGGCTCCTCCGTCTACTGAAAATGGAGCTTCCATACGACCTGGCAATTCCACGCCCAGGGATCTACCCAAAGGACGCAAAAACAGTGATTCAAAAGAGCACCTGCACCCCTACGTTCACTGCAGCACTGTTCACAATAGGCAAAACCTGGAAACAACCCAGATGTCCAAAAATAGATGACGGCATCAGGAAGATGTGGCCTAAATACACAATGGATTATTATTCAGTAACCACAAAAGATAAACTCACGCCATCCTCAGCAACGTGGATGGAGCCAGAAGGAATGATGCTCAGTGAAATAAGCCAGAAGGAAAAGAAAAATGTCGGATGGTTTCACTTACAGCAGGAATATAGGGAACCCAGTAAGACGGCAGTGTAAAAAAATAATAACACAAACCTCAACACAGTAAAAATGGACAATGATAAGTCGGAGACGTCCTGCAGGGGAGGGGAGGAGAGGGCCGGAGGGAGGGAGGGAGGAGCTCAGGGGGCTGGGGGTGGTGCCGGGTGCCCTGGGGAAGGAGACTCTGTGGGGACCACACCTGAGGGGGAGGGGGAAGCAAATGTTTAAAAATGAACAACAATGTAAAAAATTTTAAAAAACTAATTAAAAAAACAAAATCATTGTTTCTTGGAATGTATTGTTCAGTCAGCAAATAAATCAACAGACATGAATCCCTCAGGCCCTTCACTCCACTCAGCATCAGGTGCTGGAGCTGCGCCCCACGAGACCCCCGCAGAGCCCACGGAGCAGAGAGAAAACGCTGCCCTCAGTCACTGGCGCGCAGGAGTCGCTCGGCCAGCCTGACCGGCTCACTCTCCCAGAAACGCGTCTTCAGGGTGACGCGCACACAGGCCAGGGGGGCGAAGTGAGCCCAGAGAGCTCCGCCGCACACCCCAGAGCCCCCGAGGCCTGGACGCCCCGCCGGGCCAGGGAGCACAGGACGGCCGGGGGGGCGCCACGGTCCCGCGGCCCAGGGCCCTTGACGGCGCCGGGGCACACCTACCTGCAGGTCGGGAGAGAAGGTGTCCGTGCACGTGGAGATGGAGTCTGAGGACACGCCCGAGGCGGACTTGGTGTGCGCCGAGGTCTCGGAGCGGGAGGTGGACGCGCTGCGCGACACGAGAGCCCGGCGTTAGTGTAGCAGCGGCGCTGGAGGAAACCGATCTCTGACACTCGGCAGTGACCGCCCCTATCCTGAGGCCCGGCGACCCATGGACACACGCTCGGCCCGAGAGCGCCCCACGCAGGCCCCCCAGGCTGGCTCACCGGGACGGGAGACCCGCGGCCTCGCGGCGAGAGGCGGAGCCCGACAAGCCCACAGGACTCACCAGCGCCGGGCGGCTCGAGCTCTGCAGGGCTCGGGAAGGTGCCCCAGGGAAGGGATGTCTGAAGGACAGGACGGCCGGGCTGACCGACCGTCAAGGGGCCCTGCTAAGACGCGGCGTGTCCGAGGGCCCCAGCGCGTGGGATGCCCCCAGGGCCCCGCGGGAGCGCAGAGCGTAGAGAGGCCCCCGGCACCTGCCGCCCCATGGCCGTCCACCGCTGCCAGGGCCTTGGACGCCGGCGCCCTCCACTACACTGCGGGGCACTGGGCGGCTCGGCCGGAGGGCTCTTTGCTGCCCGCAGGCTGCCTCTCGCCGTCTGCCGACCTCACGAATGTCCTCTGTCTTGCCACAGCCTTCAGGCCCCAGAGGCAGCATGGCCGGTGCGCACGCCTCACACGCACTGTGTTACACTCCAGGGCACAACAGGCCTGCTGCGTGCTCTGCGCCCCAGCTGCCACCCACTGCCACCCACCTCCGTGCTGGGGCCGGCCCGGCACTCCCTTGCTGGCAGCACCGCACTGTTGTCTCCAGCACGGTAGTTTCGCTTCACACGCCTCTGCCAAACCTGTGCCCAGCCAGCGTCTGCAGCCACCAGCCCTCCTCGCGCCTCAGTCCTTCCGCTCACCCCTCGTCCTCCAGGGGCCTCCACTCCCCCAGTAGGTTTCCTGACCCAAGGACCCAGCCACTGCAGGCTGCTCGGGCCCTCTCGGGCCCTCAGCTCGGGCCCTCCCTCCTGCTCAGTGCCTCAGCCCGGGGGGCCCCACCTCGGTTTAATCAACACTACAGGCAAGACGCCCCTTCTGGAAGCCCTGCACATGGCGGGGGCGCGAAAGGGGGCTGTCCCTCCCTGTGTCCGCCAGGCACCCCAGCAGCCACAGGCGTGGGGCAGGGAGTGAGGCTGCAAGCAGCAGCGCTGGGGGCTGCCCGAGGTCTGAGAATGCAAGGCCCGAGGCACCCGAGGCCGCAGCCTGGCGGGGGTACCGGCTCCTCTGAGCTCAGAGACAAGCTGAGAGGCAGATGAACGAGACCGACGCCCCAAGACTGTCCCTGCCGAGATCCTCGGCTCAGAAGCAGCGCGAAGCCAGGGACATGTGGGAAAGCGCAGCGGCCGAGGGCGCGCCTGGGCTGGGCACCGTCCGACCCCACAGAAAGGGAGAGAAAAAGGCCAAGCCCACATCCCCGAGGCCTGGCGACGGCGAGCCCGCCGGCCTTACCCGGGCCAGCACGCATGACGAGCGAACAGCGAAGTGAGGCACATTTTAGGAAATGAAGCTGCTGGAGAGAAACCATTTCCTCCAGAGCAAAGCCGCGGGAGGCCGCGGGCTCCCCACACTCGCTCCTGGGCCTCGCAGCCTCGGGGCGCTGAAGGCCCTGGCAGAGTTGGGCCCGGGCGCCTGGGGGCGCACCCGCAGGGCTCCTTTAGCCCCAGCTCATCCCGCCCAAGGGCACTGCCCCCTCCAGGGCCAGTCGGGTGCCCAGACTAGCACTGGGATTCCCATGCGTGCGCAGGCTGACAGGGCGGGGGGGCGCCTCCCCAAGCAGACCCGACCCCGCGCCTGCACAGGGCGGCCCCCCTCCCAGCTCCACGGGGCCCGCTCCTGCTCGCGGCGGCTCTGGGCGGGCAGCACGGCGCAGGCGGGCGGGGGCCATGTCCACGCAGCCCACAGCAGAGAAGGGCTCGTGCCGCCTTAGCTGGGGGGCTGTGACGTCACGCCAAGTCCCAAGCCCTGCAAATGAAGACAGCGATGTCTGCAGGAACCAGCCCCGCCGGGGGGAGGCCTCTGTTCTCTCGACTCCTCGCACACTCCAGCCAAAGAGGAAACGAGCTGCTGAAAACCAAAGGCCCAGCCAGGAGAGCAGCACCCACAGCCGCACTGCGCCCCGCTCCCCCAGCCGACCTCAGCCCCAGCCGGCACTGGCCAGGGGCGCCTGGGACTGAGCCTCTGCCTTACTCCAGCCACCTCACCTCACCTCTCCGGCAGCTGGATCCCCTTCAGCGCCCGCGGAGACAGGGCCTCCGGAGGGGATGCCCGCGCCAGCAAGGCCGCGTCCAGGCCGGCGCGAGGGTGCCGCCCGCGCTGAGCAGGCCTCCCTGGGCCGGCCCCCTCCCCGCTCACACAACGGCCCAGTGTCAGGCGCACAGTTACTCACTCAGCTGAAAATCTTATTAAAAAAGTAATAAAAGGCTGCAGTGTGCACACACACTCGGGACACAAGGCCTATTGTCAGAGCAGCTGCAGGAGCCCCAAACAGGAAAACAACTCCAAACACCACAGGCGGGCACAGCTTAGCATTCCTGCCCGGGGCCCTCCAGAGCCGCTCCCTCCGCTCCGCTCTGCGCGCAGAGAAGGCGGCCTCGGCCTCGTCCTGGCCACGAGCCCCCTGGGAGGGAGGGCCCGGAGCTGGGGACTGGTGCCCAGTCCGGAGAGCCCCGGGCCTCCTGGGCAGCCAGGCGGGTGTGGTCTGATCCGCGCCACTGGATGCTCGGAGCTTCCCACCGAGGCAGGCGCTGCCGGGGGCTGCAGCCCGGGGTGGCCTGCACAGCACCACAGAGCCGGAAACGTAAGTAAATAAAACAGGTCAAAGCCACAGATCCTAGCCAAGGCTGGTGTCTGCGGCAGCAGGACGGCCTGAGCCCCGGCGCCACCCCGGCTCCCAGAGCCGCAGGAGGGCCCAGGCGAGCGGCAAGGAGGGGCCTAGGAGGGCAGCACTGGCTCGGAAAAGATCCCTGTGGCCGAGGAAACGCCACACTGGGCTGATCACTGGGCAGAGCCTCGGGGGTGCAAAGCCAGAAGTGACACGCCGCACCCAGCCCGAGCTCGGTGCGAGGGGGCCACCCAAGATGCCAGCAGAGGGGGGCTCTGGGAACGCCGTGGGGTTTCATCAGAGGCCCAGCCCGCATGCTCGGCCGGCCGCGTCTCAGAGCCCTGGGCCCGCTGAGCCAGAGGAGCCCTGAGCTGGCGGGTGAGAAGTGACTGAGATGGCACAGCTGCAACTGGCTCCTGCCAGCAGCCACCGCCCCCCTATGCAGGCCCTCCCCTCGGCTCCCCTGGGGAGCGCCGCCGCAGGCCCTCTCATCCGGAGCGCGCGTCCATGGGGGGCCACTGGCAGCCCGGGGCCCGCGCCATGCTTCGAGCCAAGCAGGTGGCCCAGCAGGGACGCCGGTGAGCCCAGGCCTCCCGCGCCGCCCGCTGCAAGGAGACTGGGCGTGATGCGAGCAAAGCAGCAGCCACACGACAAGCACGAGTCTCGGATTTCAGACCCCACGACTGCGGCCGCTCTCGACGAGCGCACAAGGACGCACTCTCATCACGCAGAGCTGTGCGCCGCCTCGGGTCAGAGCGGCACACCCGCGGTCAGAATGCACTCATGACTCTGGTCTGGCCCGCCCTGGCACCTCGGCTTCGCGCGCCCTCTCTGGGACAGGACGAGGCCCTCCCCACCCCATGCAGCCCGCCACGCCGCCCGGGGGCCAGACAAGGCTGCCTCGGGGGCCGCTGTCCCGACAGTGCTGAGCCTGCCACGGAAGAGCAGAAAAGTTTAATAGAACATTTATAAGACAAAAAAATTATTAGGAATGAATATGCCACTTTAAAAACATGACAAAACCTGTCCCAAAACACGCAGAAAATTAGGAAATGATTTTTAAAGTCACACTTACTAGTAAATTTGAGAATTCAGAATATTTTCCTAAATCAGGTAGCCATCGCCAGAGTAAGGCTACAATTCAGTAACTGTACACACGCTGTACGCAGCACACTACGACATACATGCGGTATTATAGTCAATTCAAACTCCTTCAGTTCAGACCACACTTCAGAACGATCCAGCCCGTCCGCGAGAATGCGGCCACCAGCTAGAAGGTGCTGCAGATAACATAAAACAGCCTCGTCCTCGTAAGGCCGCGGGGCTGGCGCCAGGCGTCACCCTGTTACTGAGCAGAGTCCAGCTCCCGGCTGCCGCCACGCGCTCCTGCCAGGCCCCACGCCTCGAAGGCCCAGGCTGCGCGCTCCCGGCAGCCAGGTCCGGCCCCGCTCCCCGAAGCACGGGGCACAGGCCAGGCAGGGGCCACCGGGGTGAGGCTCTCCCCAAACCCACAACGAGGGCGTCCCCACCCGGCGAGCCCACAGCAGAATCACGGGACATCTCCGGCTCCAGCTGGGCAGCAGCCATGTTTTTCAGTTACTGTGCTCTTTATTTTCTCCACAAAGCGACGGGCGAGTGTGACCTCCCACCCACGGTGTGCGCTCGCCACGGGCGCAACCTCCAAGGAGACCCTCCATCAACTCCGGGCCTCTCCCTGCCCTCTAAGGCAGACTAGAACCGGAGGGCATCCGGGTCCTTCAGTGCTTACCTGAAGCGCAGCATCTTGGACCCAGGCCAGGATACAGGAGGCCTGGACGGAGCCCAGGGAGCGCCACAGGCGGGTGAAGCCTGCAGGCAGGTCGCAGCCCCCTGAGAAAGGCTGGCGCGATGCCCTGCACCCCACCTACACAAGGTGGCAGGCTCAATTCAGCCCCACGGTCTCAAGAATCCTGGGTCCAGCACAGCGTGCAGGACACGGCAGGAGCTAAGCAAGTGCATGCAGGGGGGCAGGGGCAGTTAAGGAAAGAAGAGGAGGCAGCTGGTCAGCTACCTGGTGGCGTCTGGCCAAGAAGCCTACAGAACAGCAATAAAATCCAACCTGTGTAAAGCCCACGCGAGCAGGCCGAGCGCAGAGGCCCCAGTCTGCACACAGGGTAAGCATCACGCAAGCCTGTGGCCTGCCGGGCGCTGAGGAGGAA